ACTCATACCCCTGTCAATGCAGTGTGGTTCGTGGTTATCTTCAGCGTATGTCTGAACTGCATCGCCATTGGCTCCACGCAAACAGCAACCGCAATCTTCAACATCACTGCCCCGGCACTAGACCTGTCTTATGTGTCTGTCATTCTTGCCCATCAACTCTATAAATCGAAAGTCAAATTTATTGAAGGCCCCTTTACCCTCGGCAAATGGGGTACTCCTATTAACTACATTGCTGTTGCCTGGGTCTTGTTCATCAGTACAATTCTCTTCTTCCCGCCACAGCTTCCTGTGACGCCCGCGAATATGTAAGGCACTTGAACCCGATTGATGTCCAGACATGAAAAAGTATGCTAACACGTCCTCCCTAGGAACTACGCCGTCTGTGTTGGCGGCTTTATTGCTGCCTTTGCTTTGATATGGTGGTGGGTTGAAGCTCGAGGGTAAGAGACATCTAAGATTAGCCCATACTTCTAACATAACATAAGTGGAAACTGACATGTTCTGCTTTCTTTCTGCAGAAAATACACTGGTCCTCAAACCAATGATATCATACGAGAGGTTCCCACCGAGGACGATAGCAATGATGCCGAAGAGTCAGACGAGATCACTGTTTAGATGACATATTCCTCTCTTACACCACGTTGAGATGTGGTTTCATTTTTACATTATGGATTAGATATAGACTATATTCTGCTTGTTTGAAGATTTGGGCATTTAGAAAATGGGTTGTTGATTTCGGGTTAAAATTGTGCGTCGATGATAATGTTGTTTTTGCATAGAATACTACATGTGGCATAAACTTGAGCGAACTATCCATAACGTCCTTGATTATAAAATCTCTAGGTGCTGAGAAGAAAGAGGTGGCTATGAATGCTGTGTTGATCATCAAGTTATACACCTGGAAAAGATAGAAATACATGTCACTTGTATAGCCCTAGTTAGCTGCCTGCAACAACAGCCAGGCCCTCGTAGATTTTCCTTTTGACAGCAAGGAAACTCCCTATTCCACGGCCACCAGGCCGAGCCAGCGAAGACTGCGCCGTTGCTTCAACTTCGATCTTGCCCGTTCCCGATTTGCGCACAGCGACGGACTTGTCAATGAGAAGTGTTCCCTCGCCTCGGAACTCGGCAGTGTGACCAGCAGATTGCATCAGCTTGCGAAGATCGGCCAATCGCAAGTCACCGACATGAAGAGGGCGAGTCATAGATCTGGTTCCTGCAGCCATGCTAGCTGGCAGAGTGTCGAGCAAAGGATAGACCTCCACCTTGTCGGTTATTTTTGTGTCTGCTTGTTCCAATGTTGGAGTAACAGCGGAAGAGGCTGCTTCGTCTTTCAGCTGCTTGACCTTCTTGCCCGATGTTTCTATTTCCCCGATGTCGACAGGCTCTGGTCCTCGCAACTGTGCCGTAAGAGCAACGACGCCGAGGCTGCGGACATGCTGCCAATTCAAGCGTCGAACGAGTGTATTGCTCAACTTGACCATCCAGGCATTTGTATCGACACTTGCATCAATGACTTCGCCGTTTGCCGGAGTGAAGATAATGGCAGCCGAGTCAAATGCAGGGTCAGAAACCGTGGCGCCGAGCTTGACTGTCAGCAGTTTCTGGCATTCGACTGCCAATGCTGACGTTTCCTCTTTCATGCCACCAACCAGGATCAATTTTTGAGGTTGGATCAGTGGGATTAACATCTCCAAGCTGCGCTTGTCGTGCAAGCCCATGAAGTCGATGAAGGCAATCCTAGCGTTGATAGTGATGGTTTGCGTATGATAAATAACCTTCGCAGGACCTTCGAATGACTGGCCTTCTGCTTCATCTTCAGACTCCGCAGCTATATCGGCGTCTTCACCATCTGAGGCAAGGCTGAGATCATCATCGTCGATCTTCTTGCCATCAATGTGAGGACGCTTCCGTCCTGCTGCGCCGCCGGACAACTTACCTCCATGGGGGCCGGCGGTATCATCCCATCGTCGTTTTTGACCAAGTTTGGTCTCGGCATCGGTGCGCCGTTGTTGCATATCAATCTCTTCGCGTTCTTCAGCTCGGAGATACTCCTCTGGGCGAATGAATTCCCCATATTCATCTCCCTTCTTTCTCGGCGCCACGTAAGGGAACATGCGCTCGCGGCCCTTCTTGCCGCGCACGTCATAATCATAAACGTTCTTTCGACGAAGAAGGATGTTGATGCCCAGATCTTCGTCGCTAACGGCAAGTTTGCTTCGAGTAGCGTGTGCAAGTGAGGCTGAAAAGTTCAGCGCGCGACCCTGCTGCTCGGGATCCGAGTCCTCGGAGGAGGTTGAGCTCGATCCGTCATCGAGGGCATCCGCGGCGGTTTCAAGAGTTTCTTGGCCAAGTGTTTGGGAGGTATCCTGAAGTTGGCGCTTAGTCGCGAGATACTGCTGGTATATTAACTGCTCCCCGGTATCGAGAGGGGCTCGCTGCACATCTGTCCAAGACAATTCTCGTCCACCGCTGTGGACTTGTTCGATGTGTTCGCCGTCTGATCCTTTCTCTAGAGCCACCCCATCTCTTCGCTCCTCGTACCATTCCCAAATCATGCTTCCAATTGTTGTCGAACTCTGTGATAATTTCGATTCTGTAGTCTTTATATCCTTGCGGAACGACTCCGTCAGCAACAACAGATTGTTGGGTCCTTCGGCCACTTGTCGAAGCGCATCCTTTGAGAAGCCCCAGTCTAGTGATGTATCGGATGCGAGGATTACTTTAGGTCCAGGCTCTGCCAGCAGCTTCTCAAGTCGCTTCTTGCGTTCAATGATCTTGAGATGTTTGAAACTGAATGGCCCACCGCCCTTGTTAGAGCTCTTGTCCTGACCACCCGCCCTTTGCCCGTTCGTGGCATCTGTGCTTTCTGCCGCTTCAAATTCGCGAACAATATTCTCGTCCATCCATTCCAGCATGCTTCGAGCAAGACGGATGGTGTTGGTAACCTTTTTGCCAGCCAGATACAACCCAGCTCCTTGAAGAACATCCTCTTTGTCACCATTTGCGGCATCGCGCCAAGAATGTTCTAGTGAGTAGGCCAATTCAAGAACTCGCGCACTTGTGTCTGTAGGGATGAGAACCGTTCCACCTTTCGCAAGGCTACTTCGGATCATGTCGAGGAGGAGATCGTCTCGCTTTTTCCGACCCCCGGAAAGTGCCAGCTTATCGCCTCCCGTTGTACTGCAGATCAAGGCCGTGGGTTTCCGCAACTGTTCAATCACTTCCGTTCCACTGGCACCAGAGCCACCGAACCACGCAGCACCCGCGACTACGCTCTCGCGAGCTTGGTTCCAATCCATTGCGTAAACAATAGATTCCAACCCATGTTGAATATGCCATATTGTTCCACCGACGGTGTGACCGGCATTGTAGGCTGTGAGAGTAAGCCCATTCAACGGCGGGGAGAAAGGCGATGGGAGAGGTTGGTGCGGTTGGGAATATTTGAGTGGCTGAATGAGAGAGAAGTATCGAGAAATTTCTTCTGCTGTCGGCGTTTGAAGAAGTATTCGGCTTGTGCTGCCAGCGGCTTCGGCGTCTCCGCCCGATATAGTCGCAGATCCTGCTGACGATGCACCCGGCTCTGAAACAGAAGCCTTCGGTAGAAAAGTGGCAGCGAGCGGAGCGGAGGCATAAAGGTCTTGTAAGAGCGTACGGCCAAAAGCGATAACAGGATTCGTTGCATATATTGGGATTTGCGTGAAGAGGGGGAATGTTCGGCAGCAATGGACTAGGGCGCCAATATGGGCGGGCGTCGCGTGTGTCAAGAGAATGAGGGAAAGTGTAGGAATATGTCTGATAGTAATATTAGCTCATCTGAATTCAAACGAGGAAACGCGATGATCGCATGCTCACTTCTCAAGTTCCGCTAAATCAAGGGTATTAAACTTATCATCCCAGCCAACATCCACTAGGATCTTGATGCCCCCATCAAGCTCCAGGATAGACTGCGATGCCCTCGAAGACGACGACTGAGCGCCCAGGAGGGGAGTGAAAGTGAACATCCTGAGGGTCTGCCGTTACTCACGGCAAACCTAGGAGCCGCGATTGTTCTAGATCAGCGATGCGGCGACAGATTGGTCACAATCAATGCAGCTGTATGCCTCGAGATATTTAGTCAGTTCCAAGATTGATCCATTATCCCAGAGTTGTCAAATTGATCCGACTTTCGCGAACAAAGACGAGAGATATCAGACGGCGGGTGAGCTGTTTGTTCGGTTTGCACGTGACGTCCATCTATGCTACATGTCCAAGTCCAAAAGGTCGAACATGGTGGAAACAATTCCATCTTTCACCCATCCCTATTACTTACACTACTTGGAAATTCTACCAATGAGGTCTATTTATATAGGGCCGAGGATTCTTTTTATTATGGACCACAAGGAATGCTATGTTGTTTACCAATAATGCATTCGAACTCTCGCGATCTTCCAAAATGGAAGGCTGTGTCTTGGCGACAATGGCAAGACGTTGGTGACTGAAACTTCGTGATACTATCTCCATAAGACAGTTTCTTACACCCTCGAGAGCCAGAATACATAGTTAGAGATAGTAGAGAAAGTGTTTATACTGACTGTAGCGATTCGAACTAAATTTGATTCTACCTGATTACGATAGTTTACCACTGCCAATTTTCCGGGTGAAGGTACCAGTCTACCTCTTCGCTCAGCTTCACCAGTCCAAACTCGACGTAACGAGCCTCTGACCATCCAATTTTACTGATAATTGGCCATCCCCTTTGAAACCCCGAAATGTGACTGTAGGTCGGGCATTTACATAGCATGCTTAACATACAGATTGCCTGTGGGCTGATCAAAGATGATCTTCGAGATTCTGGACTGGCCTGGTGCTACGGCGCAACTAAGTACCTGTCTTTTGATTATATTAATATCCCGTCTACCTGAACTGAATCTGAACTGAATCTGAACTGAATCTGAATTGAATATGAATTCGAAATTGTTGTATGCTCCAGATCCTTGCGTGATATATTCTGAACGAACCTATAACCATCGGCTAGACATTCGTTCAATCATTTGATCCGCCTCTCGCTTCTTTTGGTCATAGGGGGCTGGTTCCGGACGGTCGTATCCAAATCCTTCTATGGTCACTTGACGGCGAGCATGTTCTTCAGTCAGGGCACGTTTTTCGGAATCATCTATCCAATGTGCATTGTCACTTCTTGATACTTGCAACCTGTAATGTAGATCGTAATGGTCCAGACGACACACAAGGAAGCGTGCTCGCTTCATCTCCTGCTCCGGCGAAAGTGCTAGCAAACGTGATCGTTTGAGGTGATGTTCGCGTACCCCTAATATCTTTCGGGGTGTCTGGGTTGTGTTCGGCCATAGGTGAGGACATAAGGTTGGACGTCTGTCTCTGCGTTTCTCTTCCTGGTTCTCCAAACTTTGAATTATATTGTAGAGAGAGTAGTTGAAGAAGAAATAATTCAGAATCATATTTATACATGTTCAACACAACACGCTAAATTTAATAGGAAGAAAATTGGCAGATCTGTTGGCCGTTAGTTTAGGGGTGGGTGAATCTTTATAGGGTAGACTGTTGTACATATATATACATCGAGTCCTTCACTCACTATTTTTGAGTAGTTTTTTACTCACGAGCTGGGGATATCTCTTGACTTTTAATTTAGCTACTAACATTTATCTGACCACCGCGCAACTAAGCGTTGCCTTGTGCCATGTTCTACAACGGGACTTAAATATACAACTACAGCGAACAACATACATGCTTCCTCCAAACCAGTGCTGTAAGAGTACGATGAATGCTCATCTAGAGAACAATGAAGGCCAAATAAAAGTATTGAGAAAAAAAAATCAACAAATCGAAATAATAAAGCATAGATATCCCAAACTCCACTAAGAAACTATGGAGGTACACAATAGACTTATCTAAACGGTGACCACCGGGCTGAACTGACTGACTGCTCTTTTGCAGGTGCTGGTCTGGGCCGTCTTCTACCTTGTCCTTTGCTCCGTCTTTTCGATCTCGAGACCTTCGTGCGTGCCGCAGGTGCAGGAGTTCTCCCAATCTAATTGAATATGATCAGCGTAATTCTCAAAAATTTCAATACATGAGGCACGTACCGGATTCTGCCATTGACTGAAAGGCCGATGTCTTTCAGCCCAAGGTGGCAGCGTAGAGTCAGGTTTGATCTCATGGTCCACCAATTCCTCCCCTGCCCACACTCTGGCTCGACGAACAGCAGGAGGGTCAGGGAAATGTCTGACCCTCTGAATTGGATCCTTGACATACTTCTTGGCCTGTTCCAAGAACCCATCTTGCAGATTAGGTGGAATCTCAGGACTAGGTGCATCCGCCTGCGATCTTGCACCCGCCTGATTTTCTGTAGTCTTCTTCAACAGTGCCACCGGCGGTTTGTCTGATATTTTCTCCGCTGCAGTTGCTCGCATTTTCTCCCGTTTCTCTTTTCTTACTCGTGCGAACGACATAAATTTGTTCATCATGGCCTCAGTCGCTGTCGTCATTCGAGTCGCAGGTGGTGATGGTGCTGATGGGGATTCCATCCGCATCCGTTTACTTGACTCTGCAACCCCTCCCGTTTCGAGCTCTCCCATTTCCAATTCTTTCTGTGCGTCTTCCAATGTCCCCAGCGCCCCCGAAGAGGACTTGGTGATAGTTGTGCTTGGCGCTTTCCTTCTGACCCTTCGTGACGTTCAACACCGCCTAAGCTTTCAACTTGAACCAAACATTAGCATCATTGACTGGGGCGACAGATAAACAAACAGATCGACTCACAATTTTTTTGCTTCTTTCCATAATAATTCTCAATCTGTTCAGGGTCGAAGAGCCCATCATGGGGTACTGGCGACAGGCTATTCGTCGATTGGGCGCTATTATCGTCAGCGGCATTGAACTTTCTAGGTTCACTGGTCTGGGAAGAAGTGCCGACCTCGTCAGAGCCGGAGCCCGAGAAAACGCTACTACTAGGTGATTGCTCTCGAGAGCCTCGGGCTGAGTTGGGCTCAACCTGATCGTCATCGGCGTCACCAAAGATTGAACCATCTTCTGAGACTGCATCTAGAGCCCACCGGTTAGTGTATTGTCCGAGTAGGTCTTCAGTATGCAACATGTAATATCAACGGGTTTCGTCCTCTTCCCCGGAAACGTGGCAACCAATCAAAAACCTTGTTGCAGACGCCTCGGGTAGGGATGCTTCTAGGTAGCTCATTTGGTCTCACAGTATAGTTGACACACTCGCACACCATTCAAAGAGTCCATTGGCACACCCACCCATATCAGATCGTCTGATCACTTTGAATGCATATAGTGAAAGGGAAATAAACATGCACAGAATGAGAAAATCATGTCGAACTAAGTACATTTGTACTCACCATTTGGTGCATTTTTCCCATCATTCTCAAGAGGTACTGGGGTTGTCGGTTCCGAATAAGTCCCCTCTGGATTGAGTTCCAGGTCGGACTCCCGGGTCACAGACGACCTTCTAGAATCGCCTGGCTGACTTTCGTTGCTTCCCCGTTCGCTTTCCGGGTCTGGACTTGCCGAGCGCGAGGCAGTTGGCCATTCCTCTAATCTCGGGTGATTGGAGACAATGGAAGGCATGTGAGGCAGATACGGTTGCGGCATGTGATCATTTCGTGGTCGGACTGCCATATTTGGACGATCAAAGTTATTGAAGTAAAAGGCGTCACTTGGTCTTCGACTGGATTGCTGGGAGGACCCTGTCCCAAAGTGTCTTGTGAAGGGCACTGGCGGCAGAGCTGGGTACCAATTGTAACCGACAGTCTCAGCCTCGGGCAAGGGGCCCTGGGCTAGGGACTTATAGATGTGCTCTCGGACCTCCGTATCAATGAGCGTATGTTCGAGACACATATACGCAAATTCGAAAAGAGCCGTGTACTCTAACCCAGTCCATTTCTTGAAGTCTCCTTCTTCAAACGTCCATTGTAAACCCCCGAAGTCAAGTATGACACTAGGTTCTGAAGGTACCTTTAACCTTTCGAGTCGAGTGACCACCCAACGAGGATGTGGTGCAGCGCCTCCAATATAGATATCGGGTAGAGGCCTGTTAATTTCGCTCTTCACGCCTTCTGGGATGTCGGTTTTCCTCATGTAATCCCAATTCCCAATTTGTATAACCGGACGGTTTACTTTGGGTGGGCCGACTCGCACAGAAAGATCGGGAGAAGGCATAGTCTCAACCCTGCGCCTCTTGGCGCGTGGTTCTTCATCGTGATCTTCTTCGTTTTCTTCGCTTTCTTCGTCTTCGTCCTCATCTTCATCCGATTGATCTGGTGAAGCCGTCTCGTTAGGTGCTCTAGCTCCACCCTTGGTGGCCTTTGTCTTCTCGGTGGCCTTGGTGGCCTTGGTGGTCTTGATGGCCTTGGTGGCCTTGGTGGCTTTGGTAGCCTTGGTGGCTTTGGTAGCTTTGGTAGCTTTGGTAGCCTTGGTAGCCTTCGTAGCTTTGGCAGCTTTGGCAGCTTTGGTATTCGCATCAATTGTGCGTTTTGTGCCTTTCGTGCTGTTTTTGGCATTGGCAACCTTTGCAACCTTCGCAGCCTTTGCTGCAGCTTTGCTTGCGTCCTTATCGGCCTTTGCTGCGGCCTTCTCCGCATCCTTTAGTCGCTTCGCTGCATCCCTCGCAACTTTCTTTTCCTCCTTCTCAGTTTTCATTCTAGCGGCTTTGGCGGTTTTGGCGGCTTTTTCGGCCTCAGAAGGCTTAGCCGGTAGAGGCTTGACCTTGGGCCGAGTGCCCCCAGTCATTCCTCGAGTTGCGACCATCTTTTCGAGTTACTCGATGGTCTCCCAATCTGATTTGAGTTGTTAGCTAGAGAATCTGTAAAATGAGAGCACGGGGGTCATACTTATTATCAGCTGTTGCTGTTATAAATGATGGTGATTGATCTGGCGATAGAGTATTCAAGTCAAGAAAATCGTGGTGTTCGTGGTAGAGGATAAATCTGGACATGTTGGCTCTATATTAATATATTAATAGAAGACAGAGACGGGTCACCTATTCGAGCCAGTAGACAAAGCACGAGCAAGTGACGACGAAGAAACTTGCAGCTACTTGCCAACACAAAGAGAGCTAAAAATATATTTTCGAGACCTCTCTTCTTTGTTGATTGCGCCCAGTTTATTGCAGATGCGCCGAGTGCCCTTTGAGAAGAGCGTTCCAGGTCAATTTTGATCCAAATTTCCACTTCGTACAATTGGAAGTAGCTTTGGTCTAAATTAATCAGGGTGGCTAATAGGTGTAATGCAGCGAGTTTATAGTATTAGCAACCATTTTCAAGCCGGGAGCATTCGTTCACTTCAAATGAAAGGTAGGAGGGACTACAGAAGATCAACGCTAGCTCGTGAGAATGTAACAAAAAGAAGTCAATAGAACAGACCACCCAATTAATCCAAGAAACCGAAGCCGGGCAGCTGAAAGAAAAAGAAACAAGAGTATCATCGGGCTTCCAACGGATGAAAAACAATGAACAAGGACTGGAACCACAGAAAGCAATGCAGTACCAAAAATTCGTGTTCAATTTGAAAAATAATCGCATCAAAGAGAATCCATCTCAGAAACAGAATACCTCATTTTTCAGCCCAGATGATGAGGGTTGAGCCGGTATTCCTGATCATTCCGAGAATCCGCATCCATCATATTTACTTCAGGGGAGAGGTCCGGATTTTTGTATTTGAAATCCAAGTAGTATCCTACATATGTAGTATGTTTAGTACGTCTTACTAGACACCCTGGGGAATGGGGAATTGCAAAGAGGCCGGCAGGTTAGGGCTTCCAATATTACTTCCATACGGGGGATGTAAACTAGCCATTGCCATTTCCATCGACAAGCAAAAGCTGGCCAGGTGAGATTAAATTTGATCTGTGTCCAGATTCGGCAATGGGCCCCCTCATTTCATATCATGGAAATGCCTCTAAAACAAAGCGAAACATATTTCGCCGTTGTCTTGGGTCAGACACCAGAATCCGACCAGAACAAACAAAAAGCTTTCAGGATCGATGAACCCTGCGGACATGAAAAGATAACTATTTGATCGAACGAATGATCAGCATAGCCGTTGGAATGTACTTGGGAAGACATTCTACTATGCTGTCATTGCTCTGTGCTGAGGACTCAAAAACACCATATCAAATGCCGAAGGGCAGGATCGACACGAGAAAGAAAAAGAATTCATGGTAACTTCTGCCAACTGGGATTGATATGATTGACTGGGCCAGATTCAACCCGTCTTTGACATGGTTTGGGCTATTATTAGCGGACGCCTGTTAGCATACAACAAAGGATATGTATCCCAAAGTCAGTATCCAGATAGATATGAAAGCGCCACGTACAGGCCAGGCCATTGGGTTTAGGATGGCTTGTAATTTTTCAGCGTCATGACACAAAGAGAAACATCCTAGTGTTGGAGATGGTATCTCATGAACCTATCGATCTGGTTGCTGCTCGGATTCCCACATTCTGAGACTATCAAACCCCCCACCGGTCAATATCCAGTGTTTGTTCTCACATAATTTTGGGTTTCCAAGTTCGCAAAATTATCAAAGCAGAGACGAAGAAATTGTCCCGGTACTACAGAAAGAAGATTCGGAAGAATGTACACATGACCAGGTATTCTTTGAAAGGAGAATAAAGGAACACACAATTAGAGGACCTCCTCTCATATGCACCACGTTGGGCGCAATACATTAACTTTCGGTCTGTCGGCTCATGTAACGTACGAGTATGTAGAAGGAGCATGAGTCAGAAGTAAACACTGGTAGAATAAGAAAACGATCAACAGAAAATACTCTCATCACTGAGTTTCTCTAGGTATATTGGCAGCCCCCAAGGATAGTGGGGTGTCTGCATTATGTGGTCTTTAATTATGTCACAATATTGTAGACCCAAGCAAAAATGTGCGCAATGAATCGTATACACGTTTCCCATTCAGGTAGACCGCCTATTGCCAGTACCTGGGCTCGTCGAATACGTGGTAGCGGTGTCCGCGAACACCCTGACCGCGGAACAAGGCAGGGAAGCGGCGGCCAACGGGGACCATCTCTTCTGGGATACGCATCTCGTTTTCGGGTTCGGGCTCGCCAATGACGAACTTTCCAACCTATATCACGAAACAGTCAGAAACTAAGCCCGCGTGGGAGAAGAAATAAGAACAACAACATTACTTACCTGGATCTCCGTATCCGTGATGGTATCACGACTGATTCTGGCGTAGCCAGTGCGGTGCAACTTCTTGAAGAGAAGGTACTCGCACCATCTATCCCAGTCGGTAGGATCAATATCCTTCATCTGGCTACGATCGCTCACGTAGGTGTTGTAATTACCCTCGAGCGGCTTGGTGACGAGGTAACTCAGCAGGATCAGAGGACGCGGGGAGTCGCCCATCAGCTTTGACAGATACTCACTCTGCAAGCGCCGGTCCTCGGGGTCCTCTTCCTGTCCGGAGTGGAACACAACAACATCAACCATCTCGCCGTACATGTCGAGTGTGGCATGGATTGCAGGTGCCAGCTCACCGACAGGTGAGGGGAGAAGGTGGTGCGTAGAGTTGACGATGGGGAACTTGGACAACAAGGCGGAGCCCCAGGTGTGCTTGTTGGGACCGGGGCCGAAGTCAGTGTAGTAGCCAAGGTCCTCGGCGATGAACTGGGTGACGTCCTTGTTGCCCATGATGATACGCTGGTTGTCGGATTCGAGGAAACCAATAACATCCAGCTCAAGCTCACCAATGACGTCGCGCATGCGGCGCTCGGATGACCACATGTTGTTATCGAGGCCGAAGTGGACAGTCCAGATACCAGCGGTCACAACCTTGTCCTCCTTGTGATGAGGAGTGTAGTCATTGGTCGGGAAGCGGAGGTAGGCGATGGACACGGAGAGCAGTTGTAGCACAGCAAGGACGTAGATATAGTACGATCGCTGCTTCCTGCTGTTGGGGTTGACGGGCTTGTGAGCTTTGCGGGAGCGAGTCGAGTTCGAGGTCGCCGCAGAGAAAACACCCGCACCAATGGAAACCATTGTAGTGGTCATGAGCCAGTCAGTGTGCTCACGAAGGAATGGGCCACCTGGCACGAAGGCATAGGCAACAATCCAAACGTGGAAGAGCAAAAGGGCCACATATACGATGAAGCCGATACCGAAAGTGCTCGCAGGAGAGTGACGAACGCTGGACACAATCAGAACCGGAGCAACGGCCATGATATAGAACGCAAGAATGAGGGCGCCATAGAATCCAGTCCAGTGGTGGTAGCAAGTAAGAAGAGCAGCACCAATAGAGCCGACACCGAAGGCAGTCCAGCTTCCAGCGATTCTAGGGTGGAAGATGCCATACACAAGACCGGCTCCCATTGCGAAGATCGTCAGAGCACCGTGAGGAGCTGCAAGCGGTCCGCGCACTGGGTATCCGTCCCAGACCCACGAGATCATGGTACTCGAGTCAGTCAAAAGCGACACGATGGCGAACATCAGAGCGCCAAATCCAACACCAGCAAGAACGGACGAGCCCTTCTTGCCACCTGCTGGCAAGTAATCACCGCCGCTCGTGTTTGAACCCCTCTGGGATCTTAAAACAGCGAACAGAGCAATGAAGATGCCGACTTTGTTCCAGCCACCATTCTCGGCGTGAACAATTGGCCAAAGTGGGTTGTTGGTCTTGCATGCAAACTTGGCAACAACAGACATAATCAACCCAATTCCCCAAGCCATGATACGAGCTTCGAGGCGAGGAGTGTTGGCCCTTTCGGAAAAGAAGCTAGCGGTCCATGCTGCACAAGTGGTAGAAAGAGCGAACCCAGTCACAAAGAGACGGTTGGCAGGATCCTGGAACTTGTATCCGAGAAGACCCACGAGCGAGAGCAGATGAAGAAGGCGAAGATTCTTCACAGCTGCATATCGCAGGGATGGGATAACGTAGAGCAATGGGGACGTGCAGCAAACAATGGCAACCTCGTATCCGGAGATACCCATGTGCCAAAGAGGGAAATCTATTAAGATCAGACATGTCCATCAATACCAGAGAATAGATGTCACTTACACCAGACAAGGACAGGCAGAGCAGTCACTATGGTCCAGAAAACAAACTGCAGTCCATTGTCAGTAACGCAAGAGACCAATGATCGACTGGTATAAATTTACCCCATTGTAGACATCCGAGGCAGCATCAATGATCTCAGTCCAGAAGAAGCCCTCGCCAAAGGTATTGCCCACGGGCTTGTCCTTCCTACGTACGTGGTTAATTTCTGGGATGGTTGTAGTTGGTTATGGGATTGAACACACTCTTTTTCCAAGACAGAATCTGCAGTCGTTTTCAATTGCCTAATGAGGACAAACTTAGACAATGTTTTCTTTGTTCGAAACCAATGTAGCCTTTGACACTATACATTTGATGCGGGCAGTGTTATTTTGGAAGCCACGGTACATACCCTCTGCTAACACCCTTAACATCCCTTACCACCAGTTCGAAGCTCTCAAAGTCAAGAGCTGTGACAGCATCAAAGCCGACATCGAACAGGATTAGGGACCATTCAAAGAAGGCATATTTGGTGTAAGCTAAAGGTTTAACTCATTAGCATGCGATAACCCCCAGTTGGATGCTCACAAGGGCGAGTACTCACCACCAGGAACCTTGTGGACCTTGTGTTGAATAAAATAGTAGATCAACGGAACCAATGTTCCAAAGAACAAGCTGGCCATAATTTTGCGGTACTTAACGGCACGGCGGTTGTTAGGGCTGAGCGCAAGGCAACCCAGGGTCCACGGCAAAGTGGCCACCAAGTACGAGATCATGAAGATGTCATGCCAGTCATGGTCATCGGTAGACGTGACATAAGTCCAACCACCGCATGTCAATGTCCGGAAGATGCCCACGCCGGCAACCAACTTGGGTAAGGTCGAGTTCGGACGTGAAGTGAGGATGTACCACAGGAAGACGAGGGCGAAGCGAGGACCAGAAGTAATCGCAATGAAGACCTGGAAAAAGGATCGTTCGGGATATCGGTCACCGATGGTCGCAGACACGGAGGGGAACCATTCGATTGGGTAGCCGTAATGTTCATTTTGAACGATCTTGTGGTAGTGCAAAGCAACTCCAACAATCAACGCGCTGAAGAACGCAGCATATGCGAAAACCGTGTGAGTCCATGCGACCCATTTGCCGTTGATCTACAAAAATATCAAGTCAGTGGCGTTTCTAGATCCGCAATGGAGGGCGCTTTAGAACTTACGGTAACCACGGCATCTCCGTCCTTGTATCGGGGAGCCATGGCGGCGCGGAGGTAAAGACAATCTCTGCACCGATATGATAAAAAATAATTCAAAAATTGAGAAAGAAAAGAGCGTCAAGAAAAAGAATGAAAGGCAAAACGACTTAAACAAGATGTCACGAGCAAATGGCCCCTGAGGAGGATGAAAACAACATTCGGATCCCTCGGTGCTTCTAAGAGCCCTGTACGCTAACCCAAAGCGGTTAAGCGCACCCTGGGGCTGATCGGTGTTTTTTCAATGCGGGATGTCGACTTTTTTTTTTTTTTAACCTCTTCAGTGAACAGCAATCATGTCCGCCGCAACAGATAAGGCTCGATTCTTCCTCGAGAAATCAGTACCTGAGCTTAAGGAATATGAGCGCAAGAAGATTTTCACCAAGGTAAGCCGCAAAGCGGAGTTATTCCATCAGAATGACAGCTGATCAAGATGACAGGATGAAATTTCGTCAATTGTCAAAAAAAGATCTGATTTCGAGCACAAGCTCAACGCGCGCGGTGCGCAACCGGTGGACTTTGTGCGCTATGCTGAATACGAAATGAACCTCGATGTGCTACGAAAGAAGCGGGTGAAGCGACTTGGGATTCGGTCGGCAGGATTCAACGGCCAGCGACGCATCTTCTTCGTTCTCGACCGAGCTACACGCAAGTTCCACGGCGATATCAACCTCTGGGTCCAGTATATCGAATATGCTCGCAGACAAAAGGCACACAAAAAGCTCCTCATGATTTTCACCGATGCTCTGCGACTACACCCTACCAGCGCCGACTTATGGGTTTATGCCGCTAAGCACGTCCTCGATGACCACGGAGATATGACACAGGCTCGGAGTTACATGCAGCGCGGTCTACGGTTCTGCAAGAGCACGAGGACTATTTGGATTCAATATGCAAAGCTGGAATTGATTTACATCGCAAAGCTGGTCGCTCGCCAACGGATTCTCGGTCTTGACGAGGAGAGCCAGAAGCCCAAGCCGATTCAGGAAGCAGAAGTCGATGACACCGATGCCGACATGATCGCACTCCCATCACTCACAGCTGAGGACATCAACCCAAGCACAGGAGATGACGGAGAGGTGGACCAGGTTGCACTGCAAAACCTGAACGCCACGCCCGCTCTGAGTGGTGCTATCCCGCTCGCCATCTTTGATACCGCCACAAAGCACTTCGACAACGATGATCGGTTTGGTCAGGAGTACTTTGACATGGCTTGGGAATTCCAGGATGCGCCTTGTCTCCGCAAGATTTTGGAACATGTCATTGAGACGATGCGCGCCAACAAGCCTTCCAGCCCACGGACGCAGATTTGCTACACCAAGTTCCCGACCGCTGGAATCCCTCCCACATCCGCCGAATTCCCGCGGGCGCTTAGTAGCTCGCTCGCCCGCCTCAGAGAGTATCCCATGGGCAAGGATCTCGCACGCCAAGTGATCCACTGGCTTCAACCTGTTCAGGCAACAGAGGGCCTGGATCCTTCATTGCAGAAGGTTATTGCGGCTACCGTCCGCAATGCGGAGCGCGCGGCACAGGAGTAGCATACATATAGCATACCCAAGTATTTGTACTTAGCACTTAGGCGTTGATCGGATATTATCAAAATTCAGGGTCCACTGGCGAACTTGTCCCTATGCTATCAGGTGGTTTGCATGGTCATTATCAATCATCGTATTTGCTTCCTCGGCGACCACTTTTCTTGTCGCTGTGCTGTTTCTTGTTTTTAATCCGACCCTCATTTTGAGCCTTCTGTCTGTTTTTTTTTCTCCCGTTAGATTTGCTCAATTGCTTCCATGGAAACAGTAAACATACAACTTTTGCACACGATTTCTTTGCGCTTGGGAGGTTTCCCCGGGGATCGCCTCCTTAGCCGAACTTTGCAATAGCTGATAGAGCTTGTCATAACAGGATTCCACATTGTTAGACTGTTTCCGCTCCTCGTCCGACTGAATGACTAGACATTGTGTTCTTTCAGCGGCATATCGGGAAGCGCGTAGTGGATGGTGTATCAGGCGGGGAACTAAAGGCAGCAATGCGTCCAATGGGACTTTCAAGGTGGCCTTGGAGTTGACCCTATTTTCCCTCTCCGGATTAGCCAACATTCAATACTATTGATATTCAAGTGGGGAAACTGACTTGTTCACATTTTGCCCGCCCGGACCGCTAGATCGACTGAAGGAGACCTCGCAGATGTTGCGGGGAATGGTCTTGGAATTGAGGGTTTTGAGCCAATCCCTGGCTATTTGTACATCTTGGTCAGCCTGAGATGCAAATCTTCTCAGGGGTAACCTCAATGGTAGTGCCCGAAGGCTTTGTATACGCCATTGGCAATACATGAGAGGCGGATACACAATAACTAGTAAACTAGTTAGTTATACGAGAAGAAAACCGAAGAGGTGGAGTGTGACTAATTAAATCTTCTAAGAAACCTTGGAATGCATGCCGTTTCTCGCCAGGTCTAGCCCCCCTTAGCGTAGGTAACGGAAGCTTTCTATTTGATTGGAATAGTAATTTAGAGTGATTAGAGTGATTAAGGTAATTGAGTAAATATAGTTAGAGTGGTTAGAATGATGTATAATATAGTGATAGCATATTTATTTTCTACGTTGTAGTGATTGTGCTAGTTATATAACTAGTAGTTATATGGTTAGAATCAACCATTGCTATTTACACAATTTACCTTGATAATATCTTCTTTCTCCTTGAATTTATCTTAAAAAAAAATCAGAATCTAAAAAAAAAAAAAAAAAAAAACAAATATCATATCCTCGTGATATGATGCTGCAGCGGACATCCCCAAATTCAGAATCTCAACGCCTCCAACTGCTCACCTGACAAACTTTTCTCTCCCTTATTCCCACTTCTCACTAGAATCGCCCCCACCCTATTCCCTATTCCCTTATTCCCTTCTCCTCATCGCCTATTTTTCTTACTTTCAATTCTTCCCCTTTCCCTCTTGGGTGAGGTCTGAGAACTCCGACCCATCTTTTTCTCGCCCCACCTTAGCTTGCGATTGCGAAAATTCCTAGGACCCTCCCCGAGACTTTTTTCTCCGTAGATGAAACCTCCTCCTTCTCGAAGTCTACATGACGCCCAGTACCCCAGATGAAGCGCTTCACTTTCGCGGAAAGACTCTGACCCCGGAAAGCCCTCGACCCTTACACATCCCAGAGCCATCCAATATCCCAGTCTTAGAGAACCAAATGGACCCCATCTTCAACGATACCTCCACCTATGAACGCTCGGTGTATAAGCAGGTCCCGCAAACACACGATGGATGGTCGCATGGAGGGCTAAAAGATGGGGAGGGACCGAGAAAGACCCAAGATGCTGATAGTTTTCATGGCTTGCAACCGAATCGTGCGATGCAGAATGAAATGATTGCTTCTGCATACTACCCTCCCAACCCAGCGTCGGTGTCCGAAAACCCCGGCGATCCGAGCTCAGGTTTCTTTCATTCCGATTCCACTTATTCTCACCCCGCTTCGGCTGCTCCGGTATCCCAAGGCTTTGCCACTGGGAATGAAGTAGATCATGCCCATGACTCGGAGCAGTCAAGGATGCCGGATCGCCTAATTGATGAGAAGGACAGCGTGGGACATAGCGCGGGAGGTGTCAATTTCCAGCAACTCCTCGACAATCTTTCCCACCCCAACCCTGGTGCAACCATTCCCGCCTTTCCTTCGGCTGATAACACCTCTATCCACCAAGCACCTGCTGACGAATCCCCCAAATCCCAGGGCATCCCTGCCCACCCTCAAGCCCAAAGCCACGATTCTATCCAGGCCCATTATAATCCAAATGGCGAGGTGACATATCACCAACTGCCGTCTGCCCATGATGCTGCTGCTACTGCATCACCTGCCTACTCCACCCAACCTAGTAATATCCAACGCCAAGATCAGTCCCAACCATTCAACAGTGCTTCTGGAGGGGCCTCGGTCGCCAACAATATACTTCCTCCGGTTGCCACGTTCCCGCAAACCCCATCTACTGGTGCCGAATCTCAGGGCTCCTCGCAAGAGACTTCTGTCGCTTCCAAGAAAGGCCGTGTTGACAAGCAGGGTCGGCCAATCAAGCTTTCTGATGATGATACGCCCTGGGGTCCAGAGGTCCAAAAGAAATATGATGAGTTTCTGCACGATGAGCGGATCTATGTGACGGAAGGTCTTTGGGATCGGTTCCCAATGGGCTCCAGGTTGTTTGTTGGTCAGTTATGTTCCCGCCTATATCTCCTCTTCGTCGATCTAACAATTTTCCCATGTGCAGGTAATCTCCCCACCGAAAGAGTCACCAAGCGAGACATGTTCCATATCTTCCATAAGTACGGCAAACTGGCTCAGATATCGATCAAGCAGGCATACGGCTTCATACAGTTCCTGGAGGCGAGTTCCTGCCATGCGGCTCTTGGCGTCGAACAGGGAGCTATCGTGCGAGGCAGGAAGATACGTGAGTACCTGAAGCCATAGAGCAATCTTTCTCGCGAAGAAAGACCTAACTGTCCCCAGATCTTGAAATTTCAAAGCCTCAGCGATCGACTCGGCCCGCTCAAGCACCTGAAACTTCCCGTGCACCGCCGCCACGTCGTTCCCGGTCCCCTGAGTTCAGCCGTGCCGCTCCTGGGCGAACCAACGCCCGGGCCCCGGTCGATCGATATGACCGGGCTAAGCCCTATGAACCTAGTCGGCTTCCATTTAGCGATTTCCGGGATGAACCTTCTCACCGCAGCAGACGCGACGATTATCGCCCTCCACGATCACCTTCCCCGCGACCGTTTCGGGGTTCCAGAGATGGGTATCGGTCGCGCGACAGAACGCCAGAAAGATTTGATCGCCGCGAGCGAAGGCGCTCACGTTCTCCGCGTTCTCCTCGCTCTCCTTATTCCAGAGATCGACGTTACCGGAGCATCAGCCCAAGACCACGCGGCATCTATGAAGGCGAGGCGGATTTACCTGTACCTCGACGAGCTCAGCGAGATGTACCAGAGGTGCAGATCCTTGTGCTGGAGGAACTGGACAGGTAGGTTGAATGTCTTGAGATTTGCTTGAGCACAGTCACTAACATTGTCAAGGAACTTCGTTCTCCATGTAGAGAACGCTTTCCGCAACCGTGGATTGCGAGTGGATGTCCTGGTGCTTGGTCCACGGATCCCTCTTGGTGCCGCCGTGCATCGTCAGTTTATTGAAGGTGTTCTTGCCGTCGTCCGCCTTGCTCGTCCGAACCAAGTCTCTCGGAAGATTCCTCTGCAGCTATTTGATCGAACCGCTGGATTGGATAATGTTCGCTTCCTTGGTAAGCGTATTCTGCGTTCACTTCTCCGTCGATGCCTTGCTAATCCCTCTCTGTTCTTTATACACAGATTACCCGGAGCTCGAGCCCAATATGTCTGCTGAGCTCCTGAGCCACCAGTCCCAAGCGATGCAGCGAGGAGCGGCCCCGGCCGCATTTGCACCTAATCCTGGTTTCATCGTCCCTCCAGCACAGCCTATGCCGGTTCCTCCGCCTGGCTTGCCTGCGCTTTCAAATCCACCCAATATTGCCAACCTCATCGGTTCATTGGATGGTCCTAGCCTTTCAACCCTCTTATCGGCGCTCCAGCGACCTCCCCATTCGCAGCCCGTGTCTGCTACTCAGTCGCCCTTTTCCTCGCCAAACCCACCTCCGGCCGACCTCGCTAGTCTCCTGACCAACGCGCATCGGCCTCCACCTATGCAAACCACCCAACAACCACCCCTCCCCCACCCACCCTTCAATCTCCAGCCTGTAAATGCACCAGTCATCACCGACCCAACCCTGCTCTCGCTTCTGGCCAAAGGACTAGGTGGACAACCGCAGCAGGGCCAGGGACCCGTCGGTCCCCAGGTACAGAACCTGATGCAGCACCTGGCTAAATGGAAGCAATGATTTCACGACTCTCTTACTACCTATCATCCCCATTTGAACTTAAGGTTCATTTTGTCAATGTTCATTTTCGGAGCTTGGCGTTCTTGCATCCCTACCTGGTGGATTTTAGTGCTCTGCGTCGGTTCCTTTTTTTTCTGGCTGGCCAAAAACCAGTTCTCGCAACACTAGGCGTTTGCTTTTCTTTTCTTTTCCTCTTTGCTCCTCATGTGTCACAAGTGCAGTAAGTTATTAGGAGATATTAGGGCAATGCGGTACCTAGGATGGAGTTGGCCTTACGTTTCAACCATTGGACTCTTGCTCATTGTGATTACTGGTTTATTCGCCCCTTTGGACATAATATGGATGTTCTCTAGATACATATTTTGGGTTATTATTGCTTGTGAACATCTCTCCCTTTGGCGTCACGTTGTACGTACATATTCCCTCGGCCAGAGGGTGAGATCATATAATCTTACCTTGACAACTCGGCCACGCTTCGGAAAACTCGAGACAGTTTCGTATTTTGAACAGATTTGCGGGCATTTACACACTTCATATAATGGCCCTGTAATCCTTACAGGCGGCGATAGACTGGTAGTCGTTTCCAAAGTTTTGTTTCATATCCTAGCAAAATATGGCAGAAGTTATCCACTAGTACGTAGTCTTACGCAACCCAATGCATTGCAGTCAACACTGATGAGCCCTCGATCTTAAAGCTTAGGTTATACAAGGCATACATGGTAAGACTGAGCAAGCAAGCCATCCCAGGCTTGCAGCTTCCAGCAATGTACCTTTGAAATGGAGTGATCATCAAGGTACGTGATAAGAGAGGATATGCTACATATTGTACAAAAGCCGCCGACAAAGTCCCCCTAGCTTCTTATTTCGAATTCCAGCCTTTCTCCTTCAACTCCTTCACCTTTGCCGCATCCTCCTTTTGAATGCGCTCAATCGTCTTGTCCCGGTTGAACTCCATCACACGCTTTTCCTTGAAGTATTTCACCTAGTAGACGTCAAGAATCTTGAGTCAGCAATCTGCGAATGAATAGATATAACGTAGAGCAAGCTAGAAAGCACCAAAAACCGGCAATTCTGAGCAGACAATTAAGGATAGATCCAACCGTACGTACCCAGCTTTGTGAACATGCCGCCTCAAACTCCGCGACCTCCTTGGCGCACTTCTGTCGCGCCTTCTTATCATCTTTAATGCCGTCTAGAATATCGTTCTTGTCAAGACAGGCGAAGAATGAATCGCGACCCTCCCAGCAGCGCGCGGACTCGTTCGGTCTGGGGCAATGCGGCCGCCGTCGGAGGCTGCGTTCTTGTTTGAGTCGCCGGAAGACCAAGGATTCCAGCCCATTTTGGAGAGATGATTATGTTGAGGAGGGAGCGGATGAGGTATTGGCTCGTCGAGTTCAATACAATAGAGAGTATCCTGTAGTTTGTAGCAAGTTGTGCAGCCAAAAGGTGTCAGTGACGGCAGATGTCGAGTTGTTGGCGGGTCGGGCCTGTGACCGCCAAGACCGTTGATCCCAGGCAGGCGATCTCCATCTCCGGTCCCTTTTTCACTTTCGCACCTCCACGTTCTGGAATTTACATATAATTTTGAAGCCTCTGGCAGCGGATACTTTTGTTTTTTCTGGATTTTACTTAGATCGCCGTCCCGAATAGCGTTGCATGTTCCCTTCCCTTCGCCTCCACCATTGTACCCTCGCCTCGGGCGCCAAGCTCAATCCGACCACCTTGACACCTCGACCTTGAACGGAATTCACGAGGGTGACAAGAAACCCGATTGTCTATCTAGTTGATGTCCGCGCGCCGACGTCCACCAGCGCGGTCGCGCACCGAACTCCCTCCGCTGAAGATCGTCCGCAAGATCCTCTTGCTGCAGCTCGCATACTATGCCTGCGCCACGGTCCTCATCTTGTTCACAACCGTTGTCTATGGCGCACCGTTCTCGCTAGACCTGGTCTTTGGCTGGGACTCCCTGCGCGGTGATACGACCATTGGATGGATGTTGGGGTTGGTATGGATGTTGAATTGCATTATTAGGTGAGTTGTCCACTGGTTCGACCTTGTGGGCAGTAACCCGATCAGCCGGCTAACTATAATCTCCTCTCGGGGATATTCAGCGTCATGTTCCTACTTGTTTTCGTATCCCGCTCCAAGCTGGTCCCGGATTTCGCTCTGACGATCCACTTCCTCCACCTCATCGCCACTACTTTGTACACTCACTCCCTCCCGTCAAATCTACTTTGGTGGGGGCTTCAATTCGCCAGTGCAGCTATGATGACATTCCTCGGCATGTGGGTATGCCAAAGACGGGAACTCGAGCCTATCAAATTTGGTGGACACCGTGATAGCACTCAAGCTGGCCCGTCGTCACAAGAATCTGCCGGCGATGGCCAGCAGGAGTCGAGCTTTGGCCGTGGCCGCGGTCGAGAACGCAGCTTGCAAGAATATGAAATGGATGATATGAAGCACACCGGCGAGCATGCTGTATGAATCGATCGCGCTTGCTCGCCACTTCGCCCCCTGCCCCATCGTTGATGTTCCCCGTTGGGGCTATGAACGCCTTTTTGCTGCCCTATTATACCGCTTTTTTTCCCTTCCTATGTCCCAGCCTACCATGGACTGTTTGATGCACCTCTTCCATTTTGTATACCCTTGCGGCAGTTGCATCTGTATAGATGGCGTTTGTTCTGAAGGAATTGATTTCCATATTCATTTTGTTCGATTCCTGTTTACATTAATACCTGCTAGGTTTGTACTCTTTTTCTCGATCAGACAATCTGACGAGCTATATGAAAACAAAAATCGTCTATAGTCTCTACTTCTTGAAAGGAGACATTGTCTCTCGTTGTACCTAAGATTGGCATCGATCTCATCAAACGTAAAATGCAACTGAGTGGAAACTTGTGCTATCTGTTATGAAGAAAGTATCCACGTGCTATCTAGAGTAAAGTCTGATGGCAACACAGCTTCTACAGGGCCCTCCGTCCAAAGCAGCCCTGGACAGAAATTGTAGTACGCGATTTGCTCTCGGCTTCCCATGCTGCCTTCCCGGCTTCATAGCCGTCTAGATAGCCATCTGAAAGGCGCGCATATATAGGATCACGGATAATGGCCAGCCTACATTGCACTACTACCTTTTAGAATCGTATCCTTTGCGGGCAACCTCGCAAAGTGAAAAGTGATTTTGAACTTCATCTTTCGGTTGTGGTACTTCCTGTCTTAGGCTTGGAGAATACATATGCTACATGTTTAGAAGAGCTTTGAACCGAATTGGAAACTGGCATATATATTATTGACGCTTTACTGAAGGAACCTTCCGTTGGTCTCTTCGACGAGCAAATCAAACTCGGGCTGGAACTCAGTATAGAAGTTGTGCTAAGGTTGTTAGCATACATATTCTCAAGCACTTAGGTTTATATATACTCATTTCACTTACAGGATTCTGGGCAGCCTCGGCAGTGAACTTGGCTGCATCATCATTGATGATCTTCTTTGGGAGACCATTGGCTGCTGCTGCTTCAGCAAGAAGCTGTGACTGACAAGCGTTCTCTAGCATAGAGTAGAGGATGGCTGCTTCATCAACAGTCCGGCCGACAGTAAGTAGGCTGTACAAAGTAAAATATAATTAGCCAGATAGAACTAGACGCATATAGCAGAAACAACCGCGAAAGTCGACTCACCCATGATTTTGCAAGATGCATGCAATGTTTTCCTTGCCCAATGCTTTCGCAATCGCCTTTCCTTCCTCTACCGACAGAACAACGCCGCCATGATCTTCGTAAACGCCTACTCTACCAAAGAAGTTGCACGCGTCTTTATCCAATTTGTCAGCACCAACACCAATGCCAGCTCAAGAGAAAAAGAAGGCCACTAACCTTGTGTAAGCATCTCAATTGGCTTCCCAAATGAGCTCCACGTCTTTCCATGAATACCATGGGTGTGCGCCGCAGCCGTAACATCTGGGCGTGCTTTGTGGATCTCAGAATGGATCAGGAACCCGGATTCATTAACAGGCAGCTGAGCTCCCCCGTCGACGACGAATCCATCAGCATCCAGCAGAACGAGATCCGAAGCCTTGATAGTCGAGAAATGTTTGGCGAACGGGTTCATCCAGAAATGGTCTTTGAGGATCGGGTCTGCAAGTCGTCAGACTACCACTTGCTCGCTCATAACGCATATTTTATTCAAAAGAGAGCGTTTCACTTACCTCGCATCGAAATGTGCCCGGAGACACCCTCCCCATACCCTAGTTTGCCAAAGTATCGGAATGCAGCAGCCATGTGCTCCTTCATCCACTTACGCTTCTCGGTCAGGTCTGAGAATGTGGGAATGCCACGGAGTTTCAGAGTGCCATTTCGGCCTCCACGAGCCAGACCCTGGAACGATGTGTCGTTTGCCGCTGGTGGGAGTGGAGGTAGTTGATCTTCGTTGATCACGCGAACGGACTGCTCTTGCTGTGTTGTCGTTGTAGATGTCGACATGGTGGAGAATTGTCTGAATTGTCTTGGTTTAAAGTACTATCTCAGGAATTGAGCCTTTGAATGTTGAGAGTTTATATTCGTGAGGTCTGGTTCTCGGACTTAACTCCGAAAGCTCTTATCTATGGACGGAACCCCGCTCTGTCGTTGGAAGGCGCTGGCAGCCAATGCGTTCGAATACATTTGGAACTTGAATTTGAAGTGGAAATCGATCATCTACGATGCCGTACGGAGTAAATGTACGTATTGGCTCCGGAAGGACAAGATTATAAGATTGGTCAAGGTGTCCGATGTTGGCTCTTTACCTGCAAATCTATAGAATTTATCTGCATGGCCGCATTATATGTATTATTTCATGAGCTGGGTATACAAAAGTAAGTCTTGATCATCTATATTATGTGATTTATATTACCATCCACATGCAGTATAGGCCTCATCGCCTAGTTACTCTGTAGGTAATCTTCCAAGGTTGGAAGATGTATAAAATGACTAAGCAACAACACGTGACCCGTTATCAGCCATGTGGGCTTCCTATCTCCAGGCCAATATCCCTCTCTCCTCCAATGACCAAGTCGTCTGATGTCAAAACATTGAGAGCCGCATTGAAGACATATTATTTCTGAACTCCACATGCCCCTGATTGGCTAGCTCAAAAGGTGTTCCTCAGTTACTTCATTGCTCTTTTTTTCTATGCGACTCCATTGAAATAGACATTGGACACCTCTAAACCCATCATGGCGGAAGGAGATCCCTCATACATAGACTATGAGGCCTTCTTAGACCCAGACTTCTCCCCATCTTCATTCGCCAATACATTGGTGACAAGCACAAACAATGCAACAGATACCCCGTTGGATTTGTCAACACCATTGTCACGGGTGCTCTTTGATCTTCAGGAGATTGACACACATATCCATGCATTGACAACAAGATCAGCACTCCCATTGCTTTCACACACCCAAAGCCACACTGCTGCTGCCGATAACATCTTGAAACAGTCAGGGACACAGATTGCTTCTGTGACTCAAGGGTACGAGCGCCTCCAAAAGGAGGTTATCCAAAAATGGGAAGCAGCCGACGAAGCCCGCGTTGCTGCTGAAAACTCGCTTGCAACTGTCCGCCTAGCCAGAGCTGTTGCGCGCTGCCTAACCCTGGGCAGACAGCTGGAGAGCCAGGTTTCTGAAATAACCGGACGAGGCGCAACAGGGCCGACGCCCTCAGCAGGACCGGATGGAGCAGCCTCACCGTCAACCGGAAAAGATGGCTTCCGTGCCCTGGAACGAGCAGCGTACACAATTTTGAATTTGCGAGAAATGCTGTCAGCCACTACACAGGGCGAGGAAGGCTACGGTTTGGATCGGGTGAAGGTCATTCGCACTCTACGCGGAGAATTTGTCATTCCCGCAGAGAACATGGTCAAGTCAAGAGCGCAACAGGCCATCAACAGATTCTCTTTGTCCTCGAACTCGGCAAGCGCCAATGGCCAGTCATCCGTGCCGTCTGGCTATAAGCAAGCCCGCGATGCACGAACACGGCTCGCAACCGCCGCCACAACTCTATATCTTCTTTCGCCTCCACCGAAAGGCGACATCACTACAGCCGACTACAAGCCCGAACTCCTATTGTCAACATTACAAGGCTTTATGCACACAGCGATCATGACCTCTGTAAATTCCCTCGCCCGGGCTCTTACTCAACTCCCAACCATCGACCGAACCCTCATCGACACCTCCGCACGATGCCAAGATATAGTCGCGTTGGAGAACATTCTCAGAAATCTCCGCCCACCACCACACCCTCTCTTGGCATCCACTACCATAACCGACGAACCCGCCACCGAATCCCAACCAGCGGCCCCACACAAATCTAATCTCCTACAGCCTCTTCTCCAGGCTCTAGACACATCATCACTTCCTTCCTACTATTGGCGCTCCCTCGCCTCGTCTCTCGCCCCGCGTGTCCAGGAAATCGTCAGCCGAGGCGGTGTCTCTTCTCGTACATTGCGAACCAACCGTGATCGACTAAGAATCGAGATCAAAGAGTGTGTGCTCCGTGCGTCGCAGGTGTCTGCTACCAGCCTGTTGGCTGAGAAAGGCCGACCTGGCACTGACACGGTGGTGGTTGGAAACTGGGAACGAGAAGCTGCTGTGATGGTGAGCTCGGTTATTGGTCCTCTGGGTCGATAATCCTCTGGCTATTTCAAGCATGATGTACATTCCACCGAGTTTTTACAAGGGGATTCAAGATTCGGTACGAGATAGATGAGTTCAGTCGCAAGGACTAAGTACAACCCCAATGAGAAATATAATTGTATGGCATCATCTATCTAGGGATCTAGGGTGGTATAGTACATGCACAGTTATAATATATTGTAATTAAAATACCCAAAATTACTAACAAGCTTCACCCGAAAGGTCATCCATAGTTCACGTGCAACTGCCCCCTCCAATTTACCCAATTCAACCTCCTTCCAACTTGATCTGACCTCCGGCATAAAATTGATGTATACTGTTGGCTATGGTGGACGAACAGACAGCTTTGATCGGGCTTGATACTCCTGTACCAACAAGGTCCTGGAAGCTGACCGTTTTCGTTGCCTGCTTAAACCTCTTTGCGGTACGTCAGCGACCAATGTGCAGATCACAGAGCTAACTCATCATAGATGAACTTCGTCAACTATGCCGTGAGTCTAAGCAGACTTGGGTCCTCCGACACACCATGCTTACTTACTAACGGGCGGCACAGCTTATTCCTATCATTCCGGATTTGTTGGCTCAAAGCCATGTCAACCCTGGCCACTGTGCGGATTCCTCTATGATTGTAGGTGAATGTTCGAATGACTGAATTATTCTAGATCAGGAATGGACGACGATCATCCTAGGGCTCTGGGCTTTTGTGCGAGCAGTCTCTGGTAGTAAGTAATTTCTTCCCACAGGATTAAGCAGATATAAATTAATCATACAATGTAGCTCTCGTTAGTATTGTTGCGGACGATATCCATAACATGAGAAAATCAACTCTCATCTCCCTGGGGCTAATGGCAGTCTCTGCACCCCCTATGTTTGTCTGCTCTGGTATCAGTCAGCTAGTTCTTGCACGCGGGTTGCATGGCGCAGCATCCGCTGCCATTATGGTATCGAGTATGTTTCTCGTCAGTGTCCAGGTTTCAAGTCAGGATAACGGAGCAGCCATGGGTTGGATCGCTCTGGCCATGACACTCGGTTGTCTTTTTGGATCGGCAACTGGCGGCCCGTTATATCAGTACGCCGGGGGTGTCGGTATCGTGGTAACCAGCGAAGTGCTGATCTTTTCCAGCGTTTATCTAACGATCTATGAGAGCAAACGGTATAAAAGGTGCGCCACCACCGTGGGTCATAGTTCTCAGGAATTGGCTCAAACCAGTGCAGACATTGAAAGTGCACTGGATAAGCCATTGCTTGGCAGCTTAGGCCATCGCATGAAAGATTATTCTGATACATTTCTCTTCCTCGTCCGACAACGCAAGGTCATTACCATGCTTTTCTCCATGACAATACCCTGCATTTGCATGGCATGCCTCGAAGCTGTGAGACGAAGACTTCAAACGAAGACTGATTAACAGTGGTGTGCTGACCGTTGCAGGTACTACCGTCTTTTATGAAGAAACACTTTGGATGGAGTCAGACGCAGATGTCTCCTGTCTGGTTTCTGCAATCCTTCCCCCAGATTGCGAGTCCTCTAGTTGGCAAATTAGTGGACCGACATGGCACAAGACTTAGCTTTTGCAGTGGCTTTACTACGACCGCGTTTGCGCTGACCTGTATGGCCCTTGTCCAACAGGACAGCATCGTGGAGGTAGGCATTTTCGGGACAATGATCGTTGTAATGAACGTGGGGACGTTGCTTGTCGTCATTCCGTCAATGGTAGGTGGTCCATTTGTTTCGCTCTTGCTCCCTCGCTTTTCTTTCTGGGAGTCTAACTGTCCCAGGCAAGCGTATCTAAATCTATGGATCTTGCCACCGAACAAGGACAGTCAGAGCCTGGCAGAGCAGTCGCTCAGTTCAGTGCTTTGCTGAACCTCGCCATGACTGTACCGGGTATGGTGGGCCCCACGTGGGGGAATATCGCCATGGAGATTGGGGGTTGGACCACCCTCTGCCTTTCCCTGGCATCTCTCAACGCCGTAGGCTGGCTCACCATCCCAAACCGAGAAACAAGGGACGAGCTCGAAATCAATGAAACATTGGACGAAACATAGAAAATCTGATCGATGATAGACAATCTAGATACATCGACATGAGCGCGGAATTGAACAGAGCGAAATTGGAAACAGTCAATCGAACCCTCGGGGCTTGCGGTTTCCGCTTAAGAGATAGCATCCTTGGCTGTGTCAGTACGTTTTCATCCAAACAAGGGTCATAGACTTACCAAAATTGTCAACTGGCCGAGTCCAGTTGCGCTCTAAAGTTACCCCGGCTGCTTCACATAGTCGACCAACTATCTCACTGTCCCATTTGCCGCTCATAATACCATGTAGCCTTTCCCCTTTGGTAAATGGCACTATCTGTCCGTCCACCTGGACAGTGAGGTTGCGCTTGGCAACGTGGTAACTATTGTGCATAGCAGATACGGGATCCCAGGAGCCCTCAAAGTCCCAGTCAGCGCAGTCAAATACCTTGTCATCGAGCACTGCATTCGCATGGATCAATCCATTCTGCATAAACAGGCGCGATTGCCTTCCTGGTAGGTCGTAGGCAGACAGAATCAGCTCTTCGTTCCTGCAACCATCTACCGATAGCAGCAGCTTAGCGCGCCTGGACTTGGTGCAAAGGAGATGATTGATCAAATCCGCTGCCGTCTTCCACGGTAGGTTTGTAATACTGTTTCCAAACCATAGGAATAACACGTCTTCGCCACCGAAGGCGTCATTATCTTCGAGTAACTGGACACAATCATCGTACGATCCCAACATCCCATGACAGATCACATATTGAAAGCTGCTCATGTTCTCCAATAGCTGCGCCAGACTGTTTGCCAGGCTGTCTGGTGCAATATCCACGGCAAAGTAAGCCGTTGGTATCCGTCGCTTTTCTACAGCCGTGAGGTAAGCCAATGTCTTTTTGCAGTTCCTAGATGAAATTTGTAAGCTTTTTTCCCCCTTCCCAACACTCTGGCATAAAAATTACTTTCCCAGGGATGGGATGCGTGGGAAAAAGCACTGGGGAAAAAATAGTGAAAAACATATACCCAGCTCCAAGTTCGATGATCAAACGGCTCTGACCTGTCTCGATCACCATCTGGTCGCTGTACCCACTCAACAAGGCCAATTCGGCTCGGAAGGGGTAGTACTGCGGGCAGTCCATGATTTTTTCAAACAGCTCTTGGCCGCGGTCGTCCCATAACAAAATTGATGGTATGGATCTGAATGATGAGGGCCTTGTCAGACTGGCCACCAGCTCCTCACGCAGGTTAGTTGAGTCCTCTCCCTGGAGACGGATATCCCGAACTTCAATGGTACCATTGCCGTTGTGCATTTTCTTTGTTTGTTTCAATCACCACTGTGCTGTTGGTTCTATTATGATATAAGTCGTGGCCTGCATGACTGATACATAGATTCAATCAGAACGAATAGTCTAATTATTCAACTGGCTAACCACCCCAATTGTCTAGCGTGTCCTATTTCCATTATTTTCCTTTACAACTATCGTAAGTAATAAATAGCTAGGTAAACAGGTAAATTTATGTAACATAAGCTATCACCTCAATTTTCACATTGAACATTTCTTAGGTTTACTACTGTAAAAAGAACTTACGATGCCTGGCGCTACCGCAACCCCACTCGTTCTATAGCAAGTGCGATCTAGACCGAGCTTCCGCTCGGTCTGCACTTCAACTGTGTCTCTCCTGAAGGACATCTTGTGCTCCACCTTCATCATTACTAGCTTCCCAAGGTCATACACTCAGCTTACCTAGTTCCACGCTGTCACAGTCCTCCATAACTCCTGGCGCAAGGATGATCCCTCTCTTAATGGGATTTCAGCTCTGAGCAATTACCGGGTAATATTTGTGTCGGTCTAGAAAGGCAACAGCTAGTCCACATCGAGATGGTGAATCTGCGATTCATAGCCCATCCTGTGACATCACTACTTGGATAATTCAATTGATGTTATCACCATTTTGTGTCAACCAAAGTTTTAAACAGTCATCGACGCGATCCGTATCGACAATGTCCAAATCTTGCATGCTGTCGCTAACTCCCAAGGAGGTGAACTAGGTCGGCGAATACTGCGTTCCACCTACTCGTATTTCGCTTTACTAGCATAGCACGGAAAACATTCCAACATTACCATCCGTGGGTTTGTAAAAAATAGAATACGGTAGTAACACAGTAGTTATACCGAAAATGGTAGTACAACGGTAGAACATGCGTTATTACTAGTCAAACGGTGTTCATATAGTATGGAGTAAAATACGTAGTCAACCCTAATACGTACTGGATTTAATGTAGAAAACGTTATACTCGGTTTAGCGTATTAAAAAGTAAATACGTAGTAGACCCTAATAGTTACCTACTTTCTACCTAAGTTACTACCTTAGTAAGCAACCTTTTTCTCTCCCTAACTATAGTAATCGTGGGCAGCTAACTGGGTGAAGAGAGATCAACAATGAAACGTATTTGTATGATGGATGAAGGGGAAAAGAAGAAGAAGAGGGAGAGGATACTATCTGGCAGTCCTGTCAAACAGGGCCATGTGATACTGATCCCAACACACCCCATTATTCCTTTAGAAAAACCCCTTTTGACTTCTTGTCGGTTATTGGTAATTGAGAACTAGCACTGGTATTGGAAATGGCACTAGTATTGACACTAGGCGGCACTCGCCCTGGCTCATTCTGGCTCATGCTCTGGCTATTGTTCCGAATAAAACAAAACTTCGAAATGTAGATTTTACGGGGGTCTCGCTAGCTCGCCGTCGAAACCAGTCGCCTTGACTGCTAGATATGCGTAACCTCCTAACGTAGGAAGCACGCTGATGGTGCTGCTGCTACTCTTTTGAAGTAGGCGCTTGTATGTTTCGAGGATCCCATCGTGGGTGTCGAGAAAGTGGTTGCGTGGGCCAATCTTAGTCGCGAAGCAGGGTTTTCACCATCACATACTAGCGAGGTGACAAACACTGGAGAATTCGGGGTGATTACGGGAATCGATGTCCTCGATGATCGACGATGGAAGTGGGGCTGCGGGGCGGGCCGAAGATGTCCCACAAAATAAAAAGTGAAAATTCTGATTGGTCAGGATCCTCAAAATTGATGATGATGTGCTCGGGGTCCGGGAACCAGGGCCTCATAACCTGTCCGTGAAGGAGAAGGCTACGCAGTAAATGGGTATTAACAAAAGATAATGTATTGTGGACTCTAGAGAGAAAAGGGAGGAGAGAGGAAGCTATGTAAACAAATCATCTAGAAGTCCTAGGACTAACTATGCGACTACTCAAATTATTAGTTAAGTATTTTTTTTTGTGTTCAAAACACTATAGGGTATCTTATGAGTATTCAAAATAAACATGTAATAGAAGCCAATACGTACTCACAAGATCAATGGTGGAACATGTAGAAATTCCTGAATACGTATTGAGCTGGCAATACCGTGTTAGAACAGTCGTACTACCGGTATTGAAATATGAAGAAATCCCCGGATGGTAAGTGGGCTACGCTAATAAGCTGCAACGTAGTGGGCCGGTCACTGTGCCTGACAGCCTCTCACCTCCCCGGGACTAACTGGAATCGGCTAGGACATGCAGGGATTAGCCTTCAGCTAAGCAGTGGGGTCGGGGAACCAAAGAGCTCCACGCCTGGACCCCAGCCGTCTATTGCGGAAGTGGCTCAACTTTCAGCTCCTCAAATCAAGGTTAGAAGGTTAGGACAATCTCAAACTTTCGTAGCCCAGGCCAATGTCACCGGCCTTCAGTTGCCCATGTCTCCTTGAACGCCGTGTTATCTTTCCATTCGCTCATAATTCGCGCATGTGGGTGAAACCATGATTTACCAAGTTTCTTGCAAAATGACACAGCCAAAACACTATAATGCAAGGGGTTTCGATTCCTCTTGTTTGGCATTCTGAATGTCATAGTGGCGCAAGAGGCGCTGCTTGAACGTGGGTTGCAGACATTGTCGGAAATGAAGCCTTTCGTCCCATACAAATGGCGGTATCTCCATTTGTGTGGGGATCAAAAGCCTCATTTTTATGGGTTAACAGCGCCTAGTTATTCTATGCCGAGTTGGTTACATGAACGCGGTCTAAAACAAGGCTTAATTCAGGCATAAGTCAGGCCAAAATTAGGCACTCAGGCATTAAATTCAGACATATGTTATTGAGCGCTATACACCGTCGTAGGCTATACCTTCAGGTCCGTTTGCATTCCTTTTTAAAAAAGCGCCGCCGTAAAGTCGTTACAGGACGCAATACCCACTCGAAACTTCACCGCGTCAGGATCTTCCTGGTACATTACTTCGACATGTATTTAATGCTAGTGCCCATCAGATTTACCAGAAGACTTCTCGAAACCTATTCACTAACTTCCAAGCCATGCATATTCTGACCCAACTCTCACGGCTCCTCGCTGCCCTCCAGCCCCTCTCTTCGACACCCACCAGCTGCTCTGCAAGCCAGGATGCGGTTTCCAGGGCCGTCGCTATTATTGATATCACCCAAACTATGTCGCTCTTTGCAGTCCTGCTCGACGACCACGCTTACGCAGACCTTGGCCGCGTCTTCACCTTGAATGCCACGGCCGATTTCAACACGACCGGGATCCCCGTCTGCGAGGGGCTGCCTGCTATCATCGAGCGTCTCGAGGATCTGCGCAATGCCCCCAGCATGATGGCCATTTCGACACAATTTGTCGAAGTGCAGTTGCCTGTAACAGCGCGGGCGGTTAGTTACGTTACCGGTAATATGTTTACGCCGGGCTGGACGGAGCCGAGTTTCACTGAATATGGAAAGTATGGAAGCCATCATCCTCCGGAAGAAAAGGGCTTTGAGGCCATTAATGCAATTCATTTCCAGGTACATTACCGATTTTGTTCTGACGGAGGCCGGGTGGCGGGTAGACTCGTTGGTCGCTGTAGGATGGGCAAGTTACCTCGAAATAGTTGAGCCTATCAATCCTTGTACTAACATTGAGTAGGCTGTTTTTGATCGGTGGGAATCTCGACCAGGACATGCTAGGAATGTCAAAAGTGAGCTGTAGGCATTGTGTAATTACTGTTGCCAGGAATTATTCAGTGTGTTCATCGATATATAGACCTGATAAATTAGACTGCAAGCCTCCAATATGGACTTGACTTGAGTCTCATGCCGCTAGATAATCGAAGAACTAATTGCAAGAGGCAGATGCAAAGCAGAAGCAGAAGAAAACAAAACGAAAAACGGTATCAACGGAAGTGAGTGGTCGGATTATCCAGTCCAGTTTCTGCTGGAAGGAATGTAACCAACATCACATCCGGATTCGCAGAAATATCCTTCATCATCTGAACTGTCATTTTCGGTAACTCTTCGAATGTCTCATCGTTTAGTAGATACGATGGTGAGGACAGCTTGACTTCAAGCCTTCCGTCTCCCAGAGACATGCTCTCCAGCCCAATATCGTCCTGTCCATACGGCTCATCATATACCCGTGGAGTGCCATAGTCTGTGCCGCCTAGGACTAAGGAGGCGTTCCAGTCCGTGTCGTCATGCTGGACCCAGGTTCCCAGCGGAGCATTAGGGTCCCATTCGGTGCAATGCTCTACGATCCTGGATAGCTCCATTCCCTCAAACTCCATGCTGTCGGTGCCTTGCCGCTGAAGAAGCTGGCAGAGATCATGCATGCTCCAATCATTCTGCAGCTTTGCGCGCACAGGCATGATTTGCAGACATGGGCCCATGACTGTGTCGAAATCGTGTCTCTTGCTCCGCCGTCCACTGGTGACGAGCCCGAAAACAATATCACGCTTCCGCGTCCACCGTGCAAGCGTCATCACCCAGACTCCCTGGACGAAAGTGGCCAGTGTAATTCCGGGAGGGCTATGGAAGTTCTCGACCACTGTTTTCCTTTCGACCAGCTGACTGTTGCCATCTGTTCCAATGGTGTCCGCAGGTGGTGTCGCTAGGTAGGTCATGGAGGAGCCACTCAAGAGACATTTCCAATAGGAATATCCACCGTGCTCACCCAGTGCGTCGGACGAGTATACGAAGTCAGCATATGAACGGCGGGGAGGTAGGGGATGGCCATCGAATGCTAAACCCCAATCACCCCAAAATTCTGAAATGCTGAAACCATCGTACTGTGAATGCGACATACGAAGGACGAGGTATCGGTTCTGTGGAGTGTCGACTGTCACGAATTTCAGCGGCGAGGATCCCATAGGCAGTGGCTCTGATGCTCCAGTATCTCTCAGGAGCTGGTCGAGCGCGGCGTCCGTGTCTTCAGCAATGGTGTGAACGACATGTGGAATCTTGGGCAAGCTTTTCAGAATAACTTGGTAGAACCTTCCTTTGTGGAAAGCGAAGAGGGTGCGCAGGACGTCGTGCTGTGCGACGAGTGCTTCCCAGGTCAAAATTGCCTTATTTATGTCAAGACGGTCCCCGACGTTAAAAACGAAGAACGTCGCGCAGTTCGAAAGCGCAAACTCCTGCAAGCTGGTCGCGGGAATGATATCCGAAATCTTCTCCACGTCCATTTCCATTGGCCGAAGAATGTCATGAATCAACTCTTGTCTAGTGTTGGCCTCATTGGGAAGTGCATGGAAGGGCTCCCATACATTTTGGCCGTTAGACTGCTTGGGGTTATTGTGACTGGCTAGCTTTTGAGCCGCAATTTCAGCCATAGAGCTCAATTCCGGGGCCATCAGAACATCTTGGACTGTAAGGTAAATTCCCCGTGACCGTCCCGAACTGACAAGCCGCATAGCGGCAATAGAATCACCCCCTCGAGCGAGGAAATTATCATCAGCACCAATGGAGTCCTTTGGTAGACGGAGAATTTCTGCCCACAAATTGCGCAACTTGATCTCAACGTCAGTGGAAGGCAGCCGGTGCTCGTTTTTACTACATTGCATCGCGAGTGATACATCGTCCAGTGTGAGCTTGCTTACAGCTTCGCGCAATGCTTTGCGATCCGTCTTGCCTGTCATTGTCTTCGGCATGGTCGTTACACGGAGGATCAATGATGGAACCATATAGGGAGGCAAAGCCAAAGATAGTGCTTGAAGAGCACGGGAATCTTCCTCCCGACTTTCCGAAAATGCCTTGAATGAGAACTCCGGAGCACGAGTTTGGCCTGTGCTCAACTGTTCGTCATTCGACGGAGAATCTTGCACGGAGCTGTCTCCAGTGGTTCCACTTTGATTATGATTCTCAACGAAGCCAACTAGATGGTTTGTTCCGAGTAATGAAGCCACTTCGACAACGATAGACGAGTTAACCAATTGGTTTTTGAGATGGTACTCCACACCTGATAGCTCGATGCGCTGACCACGTAACTTAGTCTGCGTATCTCGACGCCCAACGAAAACGACGGTCCCGTCAGTGTTGTACCGAACGAGATCACCCGTCTTGTAAACCCGATCGCCCGAGCCATTTGGTCTGAATCTGCGCAGCCAGTCTGGTGGTGATAAAAATGCCTTTGCCGTGCTCTCGCTGTCGTTCAAGTAGCCCCGTGCTAATATTGGGCCTTCGATGTAAAGCTCGCCAACCACACCAACTGGCGCTAGCCGGGATGAATCAGCGATATCGACCACCCAAAAGATACATCCAAGTCCACGACCGATCGTTCCGAGTGGGTTGACTCCATCCTGCTCTTTAATCGGATGTATGGCGCAAATGGTGCATTCTGCAGGCCCGTAGCCGTTGCAAACCTGTGCACGTTGTTTCCAAATTTCCACAACATTGTGTGTTATCGGCTCTCCACCAAGGGAAATCATTTGCATGGTCGGGATATCCTCTTGGCCTAGTGCGCGCATAACTGTAGGGGTCGAGAGTGTAATATTCGCACCGCTTTCTCGTGCATACTGCGCTGGCTGGTTCATACGTGCATCGTTGGAGGGAATGCAGACACATCCGCCGAGAACTAGGGTGGTCATGTGTTCGTACAGATTGATATCAAAGGAACAAGACGCAAATTGGAGCATTCGTGACTCTCTACCAATTTTCAAAGAGGCTCCATGGGCAAGAATACTCGTGGAAAGTGCTCGGTGCTCTAGTACAACGCCCTTTGGGTGGCCTGTACTTCCAGAGGTGTAAACAACAAATGCCGGAGTGTCAGGGTTTGTGTTCCAGACTGCATTGGTGCACGAAGGTAATTGCTGGATGAGGTTCAAGGTAACGAGCAGTTTCTTAGCATCTGTCTGCGAGAGGTCAAACTGATTATGCGACGTCTCAGAACACACAAAATACCTGGCACGACTATTTGACAACATCTGATTGACCCTATTCTGTGGAAGACGATCGTCCACTAGAGTACAGGCAGCCCCAGTCTTCAGGATAGCGAGCATTACAACAGGTACTAGTCGGGGCTTTTCAAGACAGACTGGTACAACATCTTCGGGATGAACACCAAGCTGCTGTAGGTGGTTTGCAAACTGCGAAGCAAATGTATCCAACTCATGGAAAGTCAGACTTCCATCCCATGCATCCACAGCTTGCCTTTTAGGCTCTGCTGCAGAGTGTGTTTCGACCGATTGGTTCAGTGTATGACTTGCTGCCACGGGACAGGCATTGTTCCAGTCAGTCAGGCGTTCGAGATCAAACGGGCTTAACATATTAATCTTTTGGAGAGGAACATCCGAGTTCTCATGAATCTGATGAAGAACATGACTGAACTGATGGAGAATATGGATCATTTGATCCGGGTGGATGATGTGACTGTTGAACTGGGCAGATAAATTCACAAGCTGCTCTCCTGGGGAGATGGTGCATTCCATTGTCAGTGGGTAATTGCTGAAAGCAAGCCGAGATTTCACTTCCTTGCCATTAATCAACACCTCATGGGGTACGTCATTCACCATTGCAGGTTGAATAATTAGCAGAGATTGCAGGTTGCAGGCGGACGCCGCTTCAGGGCTCGTTCGTCGGATATTTTGCAATCCCGCCTGCTCAAATGGAACCATGTTCGACAATTGTTTTTGAATGCGGTCAAGAGCCTGGTCAACTTTGAGACTGTGGTCAATCAAGTGCCGAAACGGAACAGTTGTGATGGTTGGACCTGTCATGCTCTCGATCCCTGCCACAGGCGCATTTCTCCCAGTCAGAGTCAAGCCGAAAATGACATCAGGTGATTCGACATAGGCTGCGATAACCATACTCCAGGCCAGGTTGATACTTGTGGCCAATAAAAAACCTCTTTTGGCAAGGTTTCCCAAGTAAACCGGGAGGTTCTTGGATTCATTTGCCCATTCGGAACTCGACTTCTGATGGGACGGGGGGAAGGTAGACGGGGTCGGCCCGGCAAGTTGTGTCTTCCAATATATATCTTGCTTTTCATTATCTGCCTCGGTGATGTACTTAACGAAATGGCTAAAATCAACTTCTGGAAGGGCCACATCACTCCGATAAGCACACTCCACTTGGGCGAAGATTTGGGGAACCTGCCACCCGTCGCAGGCCGCATGGTGAGCCGTCCAGATGAGCCGGTCTGGCCGTGTATGTTCGTCGCTCAACAGGATTGCAACATCAACCAGAGGTGCTCCAAGTCCCATTCGGCTAATGATGAAGCTCATTGTAGACTCGGTGTCTAGTTTTAAATCGTCATATTCCTCAACAATTAGCGGATCTCGTATCACAACTTGCAAAAGCTTGGTGGATGTATCAATTATTCGCGTTCTCAAGATGCTGTTCAATTGTGAAACGGTCTTCCATGCGTCTTTGAGCCTACCTAGCTCTGTACCAGGTGCCAGGTCGAATATCCGTTGCGCAATGTTTCCACCAAGCCTTTGTTGCCCAAGTACCATCATGCCTTCTTGCAGTGGGGTGCAAGGTAGAATATCATCGATACTCGCTGCATCGATGTCATATTGTTCTTTGGCTTTTTGGAGAGCAAGCTCTTGCTGCTCACTCGACAATAGTGAAAAGGCTGGAATCGGCTCAATTACTTTCCCAGTATCCTCGAGGTCAGCCATCCTGCTCGCCAAATCGGCCAGATTATCATGGTTCAAAACATCACTCATAAGCAGAAGCATTCCTTGCTTGCGCGCAATTGCGATTAGCTCAATAGCTGTGATGGAATTTCCACCCAGTCGGAAGAAATGATCATCGGTCAAAATATCGATATCCAAAGCAAGTACTTCTCTCAGCATAGTTTGGAGCAATTTCTCTTTGTGTGTGTTTACTTGCTTAGAGGAAGCTGGAAAGTATTTACGCAGCTGGGTTTGGCTGAGTTGTCCAACTTCTTGAACCACTCTTTTTCGATCCAGCTTGTCAGAGGGTTTCGCCCTCGGGATTTCAGAAACAGGGAATATGAAGGTAGGAATCATATATGAAGGAAGATGGAGCTGTAGTTTCTCTCGAATTTGTTGGCTAGTAGCCAAGAACTTTTTGCTCGCCGATAGAAGGATACTTGTCCCTCCTGCGATTTCAGAAGGTGAATTCTGCTCAACCAAAGACTTTGGCGACGTCAGGCAACAGAACGCGATCAGCTGCGATTTGCTCGGAGACACCGCGGTGGTGCAAATTTCAGCAATTACTTCCATCTTGATAGGAAGTGTTTGCACCATGGCATGTTCTATCTCCGTCAAATCAATCCGCTGTCCATGAAGCTTCTTCTGTTGGTCTTTCCGGCCAATATAAAGAATTGATCCGTCGCGATCGTACTGTACCAAATCACCGGTCTTGTACAATGTGCCATTTCGACCTCGCACGAAGCTAAACCCTGAGGTTAACCATCTTGGCGAATTCACGAATGCTGCATCTGTTCGTTCTTTGTCGTTTAAATACCCTTGGCCGACATTCGGCCCTTCCAAGAGCATCTCGCCAACTCTTCCGACAGGGAGAAGTATGTTGTGGTCATCTGGATCCACAATCCAAGCGCAACAGCCCAGCGCAGGGCCGATGTTATTCTCGGCTGTTGAGTCGCGGTAAAAGACGCCAGCATTGCTGCATACTGCACATTCAGAAGGCCCGTATCCCATAACCAGCGTGCTGTAGGGAAGCCATTTGTCAATTAAACCTGGGCCTGGTGGCTCACCGACCAGCTTGAGCCGTTTAAGACTTGGAACGTCTCTTGGATCAACTAGCCGAGCAACAGATGGGGTCAAAATAGCTGTGTTGACTTGGAACTTTTCAATGACCGATGCTATTGACGTGAGTCTTTCCGAGTCGGAAGGCACGCATAGACATCCGCCCATACTTAATGTTCCTAGCGCCTGGTAAATGGCAGCATCAAACCCATACGAGGCAGAATCGAGCATACGGGTAGTCTCGTTCAAACCGACGGTTTTCGCTGTGTAGTTGAACGTGGACGCCAGGTTGGAATGTGATATCAGAATGCCCTTCGGGGTGCCCGTGGTTCCTGATGTTAATACGATGCACGCAGTCGTTGACAAAGGATCTAGCGGACAACGGACATCCATGCTGACTGCGCTGCTGCTGCTGCAGCTCTCGCTGCCACTGTCGCTTATCCTATCAGTCACTGGTACTGTTACCACCGTTGCTGCAAGCCGGCCAGCCAGCTGGAGATACACCGGTGAGGCTAGCACAACCTCTGCCTTGACTTGCTCAACTATGTTCTTCAATCGCGACTCTGGCAGTCCGGCGTCAAGAAGCAAAAAAGCGGCGCCGAGTTTCAGCACTGCGAGCATAGCAACCACAGTAAACCGCGATCGTTCGAAAGCGAGGGGCACCACAACGGATTCTCGCACACCGAACTCACTAAGATGCTGCGCAAGCTGTGACGAACAACAGTCCAGCTCCAAAAAGGTAAAAGAGCCATCCCAGGCGTCAACCGCAAGACGTCCGGGCGATTCTGAGGCCCACTGTGCAATTATACTATGCAAACTTGCAGCATGAGGCTTTGGTCGGTGTGCGTTCCATGTCCATATTTGCTTTAGATCCTGTTCCGGGACAATCAATGCTCCTGTCTGTGAAACTTCGGACTCGGGCATCATCGATTTTCAAAGCGTAAACAACTCAATCTTGTTAACTGTAGAGTTCACGAGGTGTAACAGGACACCCAAGTAGCACTTGATATACGGTGACTGTTCATAGGTTTTAACAGTTTCTAAAAAAATAGAATACGGTAGTAACACAGTAGTAATACCAAAAATGGTAGTACAACGGAGAACATGCGTTGTTCCTAGTCAAACGGTGTTCATACAATATCTAGTAAAATATGTAGTCAACCCTAATACGTATAGTTATGTACTGGGAAGCCTGATACGTATTTAATCTAGAAAACGTTATAGTCACCCGGCTTAGCGTATTAAAAAGTAAATACCCTACTTTACTTCGTACATATATATTGTTAGAACAGGACCTACCTAGGTCCTTATTAGAAGCCTTAGTAAGCATTTAGGGGTTACCTAGGTATATAACGAGTGAGAAGTCTTCCACTCGCTCTACATAGTAGGATTTTGGTATCAAGCCACATTGTCTTTCTCAGTTGGACAGTTAATTATTCCTAACCGGGGAATAGCTTTAGGGTTGTTATACCCGCCACCTCACTCCTCGATAGTCTTGTAAAACAGGTTCACAAGGGCGACCCCGAGTTCTGCCGATCTGGAGCATAATATGTAAGTTTGCGGTAACAGAAACCACGCTACGTTGCTTGAGATGTCTTCCGAGGAACTCCAACGATGGCACCTTCAGACCTAGATCAGCTTCGCCAAAATATTGCAACTTGGTCGGGCTGCCAGGAAAATGTGCAGAGACGGAGAGACCTGCGGGCGTCCGCCCTCGCAGTGGCCGCCTCTTTGGGCACTCCTGAGGATATCTTTGCTGACGCCTTTTATCAGGTAGAGACATCCACGTCTGTTGGTCTATGGGCGTGTTACCGGGGCTAACCGCAATTCTAGCCGGTACTGGCAGTGGGCATTCTAGTGGCTATGGAGACCCAATGGCTTCAATGCCTGTCCACCAACACTGCGCCGCTGGTCGGCATCGATCAAACGGCTGAAGCTTGTCTCCGGCTTCTAAGCTGCTTTCATCGGAGAATACCTAGGGATCTATCCATCTAAAGTCTCATGTTGTATCTGATTAATATCGGTGGAACCTTCCATCGTTCATTTTTGTCTACGTACCTGGGTAGCACGAGGCGACAACAGGCAGGAAACAGGCCCCTTTCTTCCACTCCGTGATAAAAATTAAACAATCCAACTCAAGTGCTTGGAACGCTGGCCTGTTCCGGTCCCAAAGATATATACCTAGGTATAATACAAGCTTTCGTGTCTTTCTCCAACCTCTATATCTTACTTGTCAATACTGAAGGCATCGCACACCACTATGTCGCTACCACGCAACTCGCCCATGTTTGTTTGGATCGACAAGATCGGTCTCTCGAGCGCTTCCCGTCCAGGCTTCTTATGCATCGCCGTCATCGTTCTTTTTCTGATGCAGCGACTGTTTTCTTGGTGGACTCGGTACCGCAATCTGCCCATCTATGGCAAGGACGACAAGGACATGCGCAAAGCGCTCACTCAGGGATATGAAAAGGTAAAGAATCAAGCTTACCTATAATCCCGTAACTTGTTGATTTGAATAAGAATAAATATAGGGTGAACTCTTCGGTATTCCGACACCGGTCGGCGTGCATCTTTTTCTCCCGCCCAAATTTATCGCCGAGCTCAATCAGTTTTCCGACGATGAGCTGAATCTAGAAGCACAATTTGCGCTGCACACACTCGAGGGAACGACCAAATTTTCGAAAACACAGCCGCTATTTGCCCAAATCACACACAAAGGAATTAATCGAAATGCTCGGGGGACAGTCCAGATCCTGGAGCACGGGATTCGTGGCCAGCTGGAGCAGATCGTCGGATCCTGCAGCGGTAATCTCCATATTTACCGTTGATGAAAAAGAATCATTGGGCTGATTTAAGCTTGAAAAACAGAATGGACTTCATTCAACGCGTCCGATCTCATTAAGCAAATTGCAATGGCAGGATGTAATCTTGTGTCTCACGGCCCGGAATTGGGAGTCAACGGAATATGGGTGAGCGGAATAAACGTACCAGGACGACAATCAGAAGCTGATACTCGCGCAGCTATCAGAGGTAGAGGGATACCTTGATGATGCCATGCATGGCCTCGTTGATGTAATGAACTATCCCCAGCTCCTCCACCCAATACTAGCCTTGTTCAATAGCAAGTTCAGGCGTCTCCCCAGTCGTCTCCGGTACATCAAACAGACCCTTCGGCCAGTCTTGGACCAATATCGCAAGTCTGAAAAGAAGCGGGTTGATGGAATACAGTGGGGGTGGGACTATGCCAACAAAGAGCAGCAGGATCTGGAATATCAGGCCCTCACACAGATCATTCTCTACTACTTTAATTCCATCTTCATTATGCCTACGGTATGTGCCAAATCCTACGCTAACGGATTGTCGGAAGCACTTACATTTCTTTAGCTCGTTGCCCTCGTCTACGACCTCGTCTCTCACCCGGAATGCATCGAGCCTCTGCGAGAGGAGATCCGCCAGGTCTTTGGCGACGGTGCCGCGGCAGATTTTACACCAAGCAAACTTGATCAGCTTCTAAAGCTAGACAGTTTCCTCAAAGAATCGCAGCGGGTTGCGACTCCAATTCTATGTATTTGATTTACAAAATCCGGTTTCATGCACTACAGCTAACCCACACAGATACAAAGGGGCGCATGGCCCAGAAGGAGGTGCGCCTTAAGAGTGGTGCTATTCTGGCACCAGGCACCCCGCTAGGTGTGCCATTGTGGCCATTGACGCACGACCCGGAATTCTGGGAAGAGCCTGATATGTTTGACCCATGGCGACACGAGAAGTTAGGACAACAGCAGGGTAACCATATCGACAACCTCATGACGGCTGTGCGGTAAGTCATTCGTGTCTCTTGGCCACCCAATCCATAGCCTCTAACAAGACCCCAGACCGGGCTGGCTCCTCTGGGGCCGCGGGCGCCACGCTTGCCCAGGTCGCTTCTTCGTCGTTCATGTCATTAAGATCACGGCCGTTATGATCCTCTCCCGATACGACATGCAATTCGCTGACGGAGTTGCGCCGATCGGTGGGTACATTGGGTGGGGCTACATGCCGGATTCGACCGCAAAGATCCTGCTTCGGGCGGCAGCAGCCCTATGAGGGGGTGAGTACATAGTAATCTTGACTATTGAGATTCTGCGTGGCCCACTGATACAAGTCTGCGAAGGGGCATAACGGCCAATATCCCAATGCACTTTTTGACCTAGTTTGTGCCTGAAAATGCGTTGTTGGTGCCATATTTTGAACAGGCAGAAATTGTAATACCTGAATTAGGCTAAAGCCCGCTACAAGCTTTAGAAATAGGCTCGAAAACCCGACCTTTTTAAGGGTCGAGTCGGGTTAGGGTTCGGGCTTTATAGTTTTACGGAAGTCTATTATAAGCTATTTTCGAACGAAATTGATTAGTTTTTTAACCTTTTTTTTTAACCTTATTCTATAAAAAGGCATCACTTCTCACTTATATAGGCCCCGGGGATAAGGGTAGATACATTGAAAAAATGAGGCAGAAATAAGGCGGTACTAGATAGAAACTACATATAGAAGAAACCTATACCCCACAAAGTCAAACTGCAAGGATATATTCCACGTCGGTGTGGCTGTCCGGACCATGTCGTCGAACTTTTTGTAGCCCTGATACATCTGTCTTTGTTGTCAGGAAGAGATAGTCTCGACACGCTGCGTCTCGTCGCAAATGACTCGGTTGAAATGAGTACCAAAGATCTGAACCGCGTGTAGGTTTATTCTTCCTGTTCTTAAATTCGTCATGTTTGCTGCATGTATGGTCTTTACCCCAGAATGTGTGCATTTGTCGCAATTTCGCTTCCATATCGCTTCCACCTCGCTTCCCATGTTTCCATAAATATGGACGAACATTGAAACAGAGCATGCGAATCACCGACCCTCGCTGATTTCTGTTTGCTGCACCAACTCCAGAATGGGAGTAGCATGCAACGAATGGTACTCGTTTAAAGTCAGGACCATTCATAGTCATCTGTTCTTCTCAGTGTAATCGTATACTTCTTCCTGGTTTCACTGCTCATACTCCGAAGTGGAAGCCTGCGGGGAATATAGATCGATGAAAGCTCCCGAGAATGAAGAGGTTCGAGAAGCAGCAAATGTTTGAGGAACTTGAAGTATACAGCAGGCTATCACTAGCCAACTGCAAGCCAAGAGCATCAAGGTAGCCTTCCAAGTAGCAAATTTAACAGAGAACCCACTCGCGTGAGCATCTGTGCAGCCCGGCTGACGTTCTGTCATTCCATAGAATATGTCATGCTCCAAGCAAGATTCGTTGTCGGTTGGGAGATCCTGCTATCACCGAGGCCCATCCGACATTGTGAAGGGATTGCTGGATCATCCCGCATCTTCCAACATTTTCTCTCAGTGGCAGAACCAGATAAGATGAGATGCCCATTCATCATGCGTTCTTTTTATCACGAGGTCTAGAGCAGCCCGATTTTCGAGGAGCGAAGACCCATCATTAGCAGACATGATAATTGGTCTTTGCAAATTCGATCGCTCAAGTTGGTACTCAATCACACAGGCAGTTCCACATCGCATTTCTTTGTCAGCGGACTTTCTGATATCCACGAATGACTCCCAAAGCAGATTATGCATGTTTGCGCCAACGCTGCCCCAGCATAATGGACATGCGTAAGCGCCGCCAGATTATATCCTTCGGAAATGATGTGAAACAACTGCAACATCACCCCCACCCCGACAGTGTCAACTTTCACCACTCGATGCGGCCGTTCGCGTCCAGTCAGTATGATCCGGGATAAAACAGAGATTCGAGTGACTATAGAGACCCCCATCGCCTGTCGAAGTTTGACGGTTGATACAGGAGCACGCCTTTCCTTGTGGCAAGATACTGACGAAGCTCTTCTTTTTCAACGATTTTCCAGCGAGCGGAATTTCATGCTCTGCTTTGCGGCAGCATCCAAGGGACAACAAATGTGCATCATCGGATTGGAGAATGCACTCCATTTTCTGCTGACTTCTGGGGCGCTTGAGCAGTGCCGCAAAACAAATGTACCATGAGCTATCTCTGGCCCATGCATCCCTAGCATCACAACACAGTGCCGCACGATTATATTCTTTAGAGACGACATGAAATAACAATAATGTCACCCTCACTCCGACAGACTTGACTTCCGTGGGGTGCCTATATTTTTGGCAAGTAGTCGCCGGCGTCAACCCCAATCGACATCATCAGAAGACCCCTGTTCTTGTGACGGATACTGGTGGAAATTATTCTTGTTGAACGATTTTCCCAACAAGAAGGATTGCTTTGCTTTGTTTTTTGTAACAGCACACACAAGACCTGGGACTTCTTTTGCCCCAATCAGTAGTCATTGCCACTTGGGGACAACAAAGCACGTGGAGGTGGACCTGTGTACTACAGGCCATAGTACCAATCGTCGAGAGGACCCTTTTGTTAGGGCTGTAGGGCTGCCAACAAAGAATGGGGAAGAGAAAACAAAGGAACCTGCTTTCCATTGGCATGACAAATGAGGCGCAGTATCAGCTTGGGGAACCTCATCTTTGGACGAAGGATGTCTCTGAAATTTGCATATCCCGGAATGGAGCCCTCTTGACACTAGCAAGAAAAACCGGGGAAGGACGAGGAGTGCATTGCTTGATGGCAGTATATATCAACACTTGAATATATATGCATATAGGTAGATGCACTTGCTGGAATGAGGGAAAATCACAAGCGCGGTCTCGATTTCGAGCGACAGTCGATCAAAGATGATGTATATGATATCGGTGGGCATCGCCTGGAGGATTTCCTTGCTGCCGTCGGTCATTATATGAAAGTCGTCAATAATAACACGACGACGATGATTACTAGTTGACGAATTCCGAAATCGAACAATCACCTCTGGCTGTTCGGCAAAGATTCCAAGATGGGGCCTATGCACTTTTGCGTAGCAATAGACGTACATCACTTTCCTTCCGCCAGGTATATCGACCACAATGATAATTTCTTGGTGTCAGTTCGCTTGAACAGAACACCACTGCCGATACACCCACTGGATCCCGCGATCGCTACTCGCGAGTTCGGTAGTAAACACAACACTGATAGCCAAGGAGGTCTTTTGTTGTTGTTGTTGTTGATGCCTGGCAACCAAATCGAAGAACCCTTTGTTGGTGCTGTTGCCTACAAACGTTGGGTCTAACCAGGAATTGAAGGTTAGAATGGCTGCAATCATCTCGAGTGGAAAAGGAAATACGCGACTCACTGTTCATGTGTCTATCCACATGGGGTTTGGCTCGTCTCCTTTGTGGGCTAAACAGGCGTGACAGAGCTGCTGGAGGAATTTGGGTTTGAGCATTCGACATTCGACTTTGACTTCAGGATATTGGTCTCCACGTCGATACTGTGTTGCAGTTGCCATGGATAAGGTGTTCAGCACAGTAGTTCCATGCCTTAAAGAAATGTTTTGGTGCCCAGGGGCAAGCTCAGGGTGTGCCAGAAGAAAATTCTGTATACACACTAAGCGGTTAAATGGTGTGATAAGCTTTGCGAAGAGGGAGGGAAAGTATGGGAATACACAGGAAGGAGACAGATGAGGCAGACGAGGGAGATGAAGGGAAGAGAATGAGGATGGGGGAGGGTGGAGAGGATGGGTGGAGAGGAGGGGTAGGAATGAGCAAGAGAATGAGTTGGAGATGGAGAGAAGAATATGAAGAGAAGTTTGGGAAGGCAGAGACAAACAAACGGAAGCTTCTAGACCCTCAACCTTGGAATTGTCCTATCATTACATACACATGGATATGCTTATTTGAGCCTCCAACGTTTGAATGCGGACGACCCCGGGGGTGATCTTGGGAAATGAACTAATAGAAGCTCTCAATATACGCCATACTCGATGTAAACAAACGGTCAACATCATATGTTCTGACTTGGTATTTTCCACCGGTAGGAATTCGTGATCATTCCTCTACAAACCAGACGTTCTAGCATGTGATTTGCTATTCACCCTAAACATCCTTAAAACTTATGTACTCAACTTAGAATAATGTCAGCTATTTCAATAATCATAGTCCATATCCTCCTATACCACTACTATAAATATCCGAACCTTGTTGTCGCACCATGGGCAACAGACCCTTGGAAGTAACAAACACCCAACACCTGGACACATAAGTCCCAGGTACCAGCAATCAGCCGCGCCCAGAGCCAAGGCGCGAACTAGCGTATCTGACCAGGTCAGGAACAAAGGAACCTGTATGTACCTTGGGCCGACTATCTCAACACCAGGTCATCGGGACCTAATTCGTCAGCTCGTACAGAATCCAAAACAAAAACCTCCGAACATCGGAAAATAATCCCCATGCATAAATGCATATAAAAATACTCCGTAGGGTGTGACACAGATAAGAGGGTAGATCTACCTTTGCAAGTATGTCGTACAAGTACCTGAACGCGGTGGGTGTTCCAGAGGAGTCAGATGACTCCCACGCTGTGCACCACGGTGGTGGGGATCTCTAGGCAGTTCTGAAAGTGGCTGGGAGCTGGCGTGTGCACTGCATGTTGACTCAATGCCCTGGCTGCAGAGGGGGGCAGATGCATGTCAGTTGCTGAGGGGGGGTTGGGGTCCAATTAGATTGGAGGAATGATATAGGTATGGATTAGAGAATACAGAGATAGTGCGCTTTGTCCGTTTCGTCCGGTCTGGAATTTACATGTGAGTTGGACTCTCAGCCTCCTGGTACTTATTGTATGTACTATGTATGTGTATCGGTGTCTCCAAGGCTGGGGGATAAGGTTTATTGGTGTTTTGGATGGATGATGTATCTACCTAGGTACTCCATAGTTATCTCACTACTCTATACGGAGTAGAGACTGCTATAGTTATAATATGAGATATCTAAAATAATACAATGTATCAATGTATTAATTTATTAATATAGTAATATTATTGCATTCATCCTTATGGTCGCAGTCCAAGGCGGCTCCTACGTGGCCACCCAGGTACGCACCCCAACACATAATCAGGTACAAATTACATGGATGGACCTGGTATGAGATGCAGAGCATGGTCTATGATTGGACTGATCAGTCAGATAATCAGACCGCTGGAAAGGCAAACGGATCGCCTCTCCAGGGGCAAAAAAACACAACAACAACAACAACAACAACAACAACTGGAAATGTGCGGAGTACAAAGTACCGCCACACAAAATAGACAAAATCGATGATCCCTGGAAGACGTGGAAGGTGTGGAAGTTTTAGCCGTAGCCTCACAAGTCAAAGACGTCAGCATATCCACCGATCCGGACAACCCAGGAGAACCCCCGGTTGTAATTCGGGTTTTATCGATAAGCCCTGCAGCTTGGTACCTGGTTATACTTGGCCGTGCGCCTCATTGCCAGCCTTGCAGATGTACCTACAGGTACCCGGGGTCTGGGATTTCCCCCCTCTTCTCGTGGGATGTAGCGACGATCTATGCGTTTTCTTTGACCCCCCTCGGTGTATTTATATGGAGATACAACGTGGGTTTTAGATTGTATTTCTCCGCTGTACTCCGTACAAGACTTTTCCCGTGACGGTCAACTAAACTGTCGATCATTCAGATTAGCGGCAGGAGCCCCATCTTTACCTATTTCATCTATAGTATTTATTCACATCACCGAATTATATCCTGCAAACTATATATACGTAATGGAGATTAATATCCCGCACTTGGTCAAGGAGGGGAACCATGTCTTCCATGGAAAGAGTGAATATCGCCTCCTTTAGTTCCCGCCAATCGTGCTTGCTAGATCATAACCGAACCTCCATGGGGCCGATCTAGGGCCAATGCGGTACAGTACATAGTCAGGAATTTTTGATTTGTTACAATATAGGTCAAACTCAAGGAAATATTAAGCACATCATCCACATCGGCCGTGGCGTCACATCCGATGAGGTATTTGACCCCCAAAGTCCAAATCAACTTTGGAAACGAATAGAGTACATTAAAGTACATGAGAACCAGGGATCTGAGGATGTTGTACAGCATTGACTTCCAAGGTTTGGAGTTGCCGTTTGCAGACTCGAGGGAAGGTGGGGGGAAAGTTTAGCAGCGACGCAGGCACGATGGACCAACGGGCTTAGTCCCAGGGGGTGAAAGTTTCAGATGGAGAGTTGCCTGAATGCGGTTTCAACGGAGCTATCGGATCAGCTAAATGACGAGTTCTTTTTCTTCTTATTATTTCTGGGGTCCTTAGATTCCTTGAGTCCCTTGGGTTCATAAAGTAATAAAAGTATTGAAAGTGGTAGGTTCTAGAATTCTAGAATGTATACAAGATGAAAATGAGATCTATCTCTTATCAACACCCCCGCAGTCTACGGAGTACATGTAGGTGTAATCTAAAATTAACTTATAGGTTTGAGCCAATGTAAGATCCTCCATAGGAAGGCTCGAGCAAAGGATTAATACTATATGAAGACTTCGTATCGGGGCGGACCATTCGGAACTCTTTCCCCTACCGCGTAACCATTTCTCTAAGAGTATGACGAAGTGCGATACATCTACACGATGCAAGGGGGGTGGGATATGGTTGAGGGAGGGGGGTTAGAGGGGGGAATGGAGGAGTATATTAGAGGTTAACCCTAAGATCTCCACCAAAAGAGTCTCGACCTTTTTTTCTCCCCAAAAGAACCAAACTTGTCGAGGCTTGGCAGTGCCTATTTCCAGGGTCTGGGAAAGATGGTTAACGTCAAGAATCCCCAATTTCGATGGTTTAACCTACCTAGGTACTTTTTGTATAATACATCCCTATATAGATCGGAGGGAAGAACTAGGTCTAGACTTGGATCTTCAAGTCCAATGTCCAAGTAGCTTCAAAGTAGCTCCAATAAGTTCAAGTAGTTCATAGTAGTTCAAGTCACTAATGAATCATGGAGGTGCCTGGTGCCTTTTGAATAAAATGGAGACACGCGGATATCTGGTGAAACACTTAATGATTCGCATCGGTAGCCCCGGAAGGTCTTTGAGTTCCTGTTGAGTTCCTGTCTTTTTTTCTTTTTTTTTCTCTTGACTCTCTTGACTTCTTTTTTTGCCCCTCGCTTCCCCGATAAGCCTCTTCTTCTTCTTCTTCTTCTTCTTCTTCTTCTCATCGTCACCATTTTCTGTTTTCTGTTTTATATTTTCTTATTGGTATATACTCTTATATACTCACCTTTTTCCCCCCTTTTTGTTCATTTTTACCTACCCGGCTGATCGGATCTCTATTTCTTTTCTTTTCTTTTCTTTTTTTCTTCTTGGAAATATTTCAAGAGATGATCGCGATCAGCTAATGACCTTCCCTTTTCTCTTATTTCTTACATTCTTGACCTCTTCTCCCCGCCCTTGCGTTTGGGATCCTAGTACTCCGTACACACATTCTATTTCCGCCCCTCTTTCTCTTCTTTCTCTTCCAGAGTAAGCGCACTTTCAAATCGTACGTGTTGGATCTTCTCCGAGTCTCTTTTGGTCTCCTTTTTTTCTTTTTTCTTGGCCCACTCAAGTAGTGTTCAGGTTACTGAATTTGCGCAAATGTTTACAGTCAATCCGACCAGACTCCGCGTCTTGATCTCCGATTTCTCCGTAGCGCTGCGGTTTTTACGACTCGACATAGAGACATATAGAATCCCAACTGGTCCAGGGGTGATTATTCCGATCGGATTGTCGGATTTGCGACTGGTGGTCAGGAACATTCGCATTTGGCTCTCCGAAGACCTGACATCACTTCCGCCTCCCACCCTCTTACGTCGATATGGCTTCCTTTCTCCCTGTCAACAACTCGGCCCCTGAAGACCACGCGATGGATGGAGAAGCTACACCCCGTGCCATCCCAAATGGTGTGCCGGTAACACCGGATGTTTCTTCGACCGAGCAGTTTCCGGACGGAGTCTCACACCGCAGCCGCGGTAGCGACACCTCATCCCGCACAACCTTGACCCACGCTCGAACCCCGTCAACGTCGGACGAACACATGCACGATTCCGAGGGAGAACAGGAGGATTCCGATCATGATCAGAACCTAGGGAGTAACGCACCGCCCTCGAAAAAGAAGAAAGGTCAACGGTTCTTCTGCACCTCTTTCCCTCCTTGCAATCTGAGCTTCACCCGGAGCGAACATCTGGCTCGCCATATTCGAAAACATACTGGTGAACGTCCCTTCCAGTGTCACTGTTCTCGCCGATTTTCCCGACTCGACAACCTCCGCCAGCATGCTCAAACGGTCCATGTCAATGAGGAGATTCCCGGGGATTCGCTAGCAGCCACGGGCACACGATTCCAGCGCCAGGTCCGTACAGATCGAGTGCGACCACCAGGTCGGGCGCGGGCAGGCACCGGTGGTAGTGTCAGTGGTCATACCCGAGGTCATAGCAGGAACTTGTCAACCTCGAGTATTGCGTCCACGGCTTCCACATTCAGCCAACCTCCGGAACTTCGGCGGCGCCCCCGCCTTTGATCATGGCCAACGATCCGGCAGCTCGATCCCGACTGGCAATGGATTCCATGGGAGAACCTCCGAGCACACCCCCGGGCCAGATCCGTGGCGCTCCTGGTCCCTCGACAGCTGGATCACCATACACCCCCTCCAATATGTTTGCTGCTACTGGCGGAAGCCCCCAATTCGCTTCACCCATGTCTGGTACAGCACATGGGTTCTGGGAAGGAAAGACGGCTGCCCGTCGTCTTTCAGTGCCGACGAGCAGCAACCCTTTCCTCACACAGCACGGCAACGCATATCCCCCGGCATATCACACCCCGGCCGTCGCACCTTATCCAAACGCGGCTGGCGTATTTGCAAGCCCTACTAGCACACATTACTCGGTATCTCGTGACGAGGGCACCCTGAGCGCGGCTGAGGCGGAGATGCGGAGAAGAACTTGGCACCCTTCGTCGTACACAGGGTTTCCACGTCCTGGAACCAGTGGCCTAAACCAATATCATACACCCGATAATGTACCGGCCTCATTCGGCGTCAACGGTTCGACCGAGCACCCGCCCCGACTCCCCGGAATTGAAAGTTTCGACAAAGTAGTTCAACGGCCGATGACCCCACCCACCAGGAAAGGCAGTCCAATGCAGCTTGAGGGCCACCATCGTCCACCACATAGCGCAGCCTTTGGATCTGGATTCAATTACACGCAGCCAGCCCACCGTCCACCACCCCCCATCTCCGGCCCTGGTCACCGACGAGGCCATGTGTCCTGGGATATGTCTTTGCATCATAACCTAACCGGACTGGATATCCGAGACCGACGCCCATCCACTGCGTCCGCTTCTCAATGGGGTCAACAAACGCTCGCGGAACTCCAAAATGTCTCTTCCCGCCCGTCGTCGGCTTACCAGCCTTCATTTGGCCCAATGGCCGAAAGAAGCCCCGAAGAGTATCGGGGACATCGCCCGAGCCTTTCAACGGGGAGCCGCACGCGAACCTCCCCCGAGGATTCCAGTAGCAGTGAGGGTGTACATACCCCATCCACCGCTTCGCTTGAATATCATCCCGCGATTGTGCACAGCAGCGGGTATATCGAATCTCAGGATTCCTGTCTACCTTCCGAACACCCTCCACAGGTAAGGAACTCCTGTTTAAACGGATGGCTATCGCACTGGTTACTAACGCCGTCATAGATCTGTGACCGCCAATCCTCCCACGCGGACGGCTACGAAGCCCACAACGACCGGGAGCCCAGGCCCGACGTCTTCTCAGACTCTCCTGCCCGAAATTCGGGCATGGGTCGGCTGGAAGCTCTTGTCGCCGTCGCCACAAGCGAGAACAAAGGAGCAGCCAAGCTATTTCTGTAAATTGTCTGGACAAAGCCCTCCTGTTCTATACCATTCCGCGCCATTTTACATATGAAAGTCATCTTCGCTTCCTGCAATTTGCTGGAGAGCGATCATCATATACTTGGCATTCCACCTTCCGTCTATCTCCCACTCCCAATTTACAACCCACTCTTTCCGCCCACCCTACTTCCAACATTCAGCCCGTCGGCCTTTGTCGGCTTTTCCAACTCTTTTCTTATTTATATATTTCCGGGATTCTCATATTTGCCATTTTGTGATAGCGAGACCCTTGATGAACTGACGACTTTGACGACAACTGATACACGACCGGGTAATCTAGCCCAACTTTCTTTTACTTGTGTTCGGGGGTCTTATATTTTTGTTTATGCTCTTTTTTTTTTTTGGGGGGCAGTTCTGGATAGCAATCTTTTTCTCGGATGAGTTCTCAGTCCTGAGCTGCATGTCCTGGCGTTCGCATGGGAAGTTTTATGTGAACGGAGTCATGTGCATGACGATACCCTTATCGATCATTTGGTTCTCTTTCATTTTTGGTCGTGGTCCACGGTGTGACTGAGTGTTGCATTTCGCTCTCTCTCTATCTCTCTCTCTGTGTGTGGGCTCTTCATCTCTCCCATCCTGAGTCCCTTCCCTCTCTCTACCTTCTCGTTTCGTTTTGTGTCTTACTATATTTTTGGGGGGTTGGACCGTATCTGACGCTTTAACGGACTATAACTATGGGAGCTTTTGATATATTTTTATGATCTGAATATGACTGGAACGCATTGATGCTGCTTTTCTTCTAGTCACCATTTATGTACAAAACCATTCAAAGAGACCATACACTGAGACTAAGTAATAGTAAGAAAACCCCAGAACCGGAATAGGGAATGAGGCAATGACTTGCAGGTGACGTCGACGGGGAATTTAGCTCTCCGGGACTGGGCCTTGGTTCATCCCCACTTGTAACCCTGTACGTTTCCACCCGAGTTGGGAAGATATTACAGACATTTTAAGAGAAATTGAGGGATTGGAATAATTAGTGAACAAGATCCAGTGGTCAATTGATATATTAAAAGTAACACAGTATCTGAGAGGGGAAAAGAAATAAAGGAATAAGGAAAGAAAATAAACGGCAGAGGCAAGTTCTAGTACATGCGGACAAGGACTGAGAACAAGACGTCATAGTCGACTCTTTCCCCGGTCTTGAGAACTACCTATAAAACCAAGGATACTCCGACCTTTTAACCCCAGCATTTACTCCAATTACACACTCTCTACATCTTCCCCTCCCAACACTCCACTACACATCATGTCGAAGAACCGGGTTCCATTGTTTCTGGGTCTCGCTGCAGCGGGCGCAGGCGGTTACTACTTGTACTCTGCCGGCGGCGATCCTTCAGCAGCAAAGCACCAAATGAGAAGTACGTGCCCTGTCTGACAAATTCCCCAATCCTATTGAATTGCCGGGACATTGAGCTAACTCTCCTCTTTCACTCCAGTCGATGCCGAAAAGGCACGTGAGAAGCTCCCAGGTACACAAAACGCCGAGAAGGTTGGCACGGATGTCGGCAAGGAAGCCGGTGCCAATATCGATGATGCCGTAAGTCATGTTCTGTTCATAGTGGTTAATACGACAGGCCATACTAACCATCCCAATTCTAGATCGCCAGAGCCCGCGCTGAAGGCAAGCGCATCCCCGAGTTAGCTCAAGATGGCAAGGAAAAGCTTGATGAGCTCCGAGACGAAGCAAAGGCCAAGTTCAATACCAATCGGGAGAAGGTCAACAGCAGTGTTAACCACATTGATCGCGAGGTCGAGCAAAAAGCGGCTGATGCCAAGGGTGCTGTCTCTGGCTGGTTGGGTGGCAAAAAATAAGCCTTCTTTTTGCCCTTGAGCCTCGACGATTTAATATTATTATTTATTACGACGATGGTCGGTTGGGGAATATCACGAATAATTCCATGTCTATGAAACTTGTGCGTGTTTCTTGTTGTAAATGTAAGTATCCATGTAGTTGAAGTTCGTGTATGCCGAGTATGCAATGCATCCGGTGTTGGTCTGTGAGGGCGCGTCATGAAACGGATTATTGTCATCCAGTCCCTTCTTGATAGTAGAGACCAATTTGGAATTGATTTTCTGCCATGCATCGGAGCAAAGAAATGTCTTGACGCTAAGCTTGGACATCTTGACATTCCAATGCCGGAGTATTACCGTAGCGACGAGAATGCCTGGGCTTGGAACTGTCTTGTATTTTATACTCAATTCTTTTTTCTACAGTTTATTATATCAAGACTTATGCCTTCTTTTTGAAACCAGTCCGCTCATATTTCCATACGGAGTATTTGAATTGAAGTTCATATAGATCCCGCCCACGCGTTTCCATTTAGCCCGAAACGGCTAGTGTTGATTTTTCAACGCGCCCTCGAACGCGTCTCTCCTTTGCACCTTCTCTGACATCTCCCACTTTCCACTTCCCACTTTCCACTTTGTGCACTTTCCCACTTCTTATTTGTTCTAATATCTCGGTATCTCTTACTTTGTCTATTATAATACAGTTGTATCCATCGCCCTTTCTTCATATCCTCCCACGACCGGCAGAAAAATTTTCAGCAGTCGCGATGCCGCGCACCTCCCGGTCAAGTTGCGTTGCCCAGCCAGCCATTCAAGCCTTCACTCGGGCAACCAAAGCCGGCATTACTCCGCAGCTACCTGCAAAGAAGATAGCATCTCTTCCAGTCTCGCCTTCCAAAAAACGCAAACTGCAGGAACTCGAGAACTTCGACAACGGTAGCAGGCAGGCACCAATTGAGGAGGAAGGCACGCCCTCGAAAACTTTGCGGCTCAATGAATTATCCGTTTCCTCACCACACAGCGGCCACTATGCCTCTCCAAAGAAAGCTTCGCCCGCGAAGACCCCGAGTCGGACCCCGAGTCGACGGGTTGCCCCTGTCAAGCAAGCGCCCTCGACACCCGCGACCCCTTCAAAGCAACGAACCTTGAACTTCGAGAAGGTTTTTCCGGTGCACGAGGAAACCCCAGCTATCGAGCGGCCTGCGTTCTTCAACGATATTCTCAACCTTCACTCCTCCTTTGTGCAGGCTTTCTCCATTCACATGGCCCACAATGGCGCAAATACCCCTGCGGACCTCCGAGAATTCCTTGGCAGCGTGACCCGCCTCTGGAATAAGCGCAAGGTGCAGACGAAGGACTTGCAGCGTCTTGTGTGGGTTTGGGATCAGAGTTCGAAAGCGAAACACATTTCATATCGTCTGGCAAATTATGGACTCGGCAAAATTTGCATGGAGCGCACCGTCCAGGTCAATGTGCAGCCTCCAGCTTTGCAAGACTCGTTCGAAGAAACCTTGGACTTGCTGTGGGAAAAGGCCCCAGAGGCCCTTCGGGATGCCAATGAGGAAGCCCAAGCAACTCTGTTCATCGAGTCTCTCGGTCTCTCCACAATCCACGAGTCCCTTACCCCTTTCACTGTTTTCCAGAAAGGCCAGCAACGACTCCAGGATCTAAAGGGTGGTTTGCTCCGCTTGAAAGCCGAGAGAATGCGCTCAGAGTCAGCAGAGACGACTCCCCTGGAGCGGACGGCAACGATCAGCCGCCGCCAGGGCCTGCTGGATCGCATTAAGAATAAGGAGCTACGCCAGTCCAAGCTCCCTCCCCCGCCTGCTAAGAAGGAACTCGTGCGACATGCAGCCCTCGATCGGGTGGAGGAGGTAGCTGGAATTCTGGCGCTGTTGCGTCCCGCAGGGTATGTGGGCAATGGTATCAAAGCCATGCTTGCAGCCCAACGCAAGCCCTTCAAGCTCGATGTGATGGTCGAGCATGTCCGTGACTCGGTTCGCAGCGAGATTCCCCGTGAGGAGGTGGAGATGTGTCTTGAGATTCTGTCGGATACAAAGGTGGCTGGTGACTGGATCAGTATGGTTACTGTTGGCCAGATGAAATCGGTCGTGTTGAAGTCTTGCAAAGATGTCTCTGCCAAAGATATCGGCGCCAGGGCCGCCCAGCTGAAGGCTGACTGGGAGAAGTCTGCGTCTTGTGTACAGACTACTCTCTTGTGATTTTCTTGTGATTTTCTCCTTTTTTGGTTTACTCTTTTGCTTTTCATTGTTGGATACCTCGCATCCGCAGAGCCGGTCTGCTCGCGGTTTTGCATCAGCGCTCGATACCCTGTACTTTATCATATGTCTATTAGCATTAAACACTACCTTATGTAGTACTTAGCAATTAGGTCCTTGGACACCCAATCATAATACCATTACTACACCACAACGCTAATTGACGGTAAATCTGCTGCCGAAAATGGCTACCTGGTTTAAGCTCCCTGATCACTGGAACACAAAACCAGGCAAAGGGCTATAAAAATATAAACCAGGCCAGACAAGGCATATGGCACGAAGTCTATGTTCTCGAGGATTGGAGACAGCATGATCAAATGTGACCTCGGCGATAGATATGGAGTATATGTCCTAGTAACAGTCCTCCTGCGGGATAGTCCTTTTGAAGGTACTTTCAGGTTTTCTGGTGTATCCAATTCTAGTTTACAAAAACAAATGATTCGTAAGAGGGAATTGCAACTCATTATATTCGGGGAAACACTAAGAAAAGCACTTCCAGGCGGCCAAAGCTTTTGGGGATGTAAAGCGTATCCAGACCTATTATTTCATTATGGCCAAAGGGGGTGTCCGCAAACTTAGAAAGAGTGATTGTCCTATGGTTAATATTAGGCAGTATACTCGGGTTGGTTCTCTCCGAACATCACTACTGGCCGCCATTAGTACCATGAAGCGCCATCCGCCAGGTAAAATTGCAGCAGCAAGCAAGGTTGAAGAACAAAATCCAGCGAAATAGACCTGACTGAGAGTTTCCAGACAGGGTTTTTCAAGCCCTAGAGCCTTTCCAGATATCAGAGCTTAAATTCTTCTTGTAGAGCAATATCATATTGTTCTTTGTCGTTCACCTTTTGGTCAATGAATTTCAGCGCATTAAATGTCCAATAAGGCGCCGTAACAACCCAGAAATCTGGGTCACCACTATCAGCTTTTGAAAACTTTGGTTGAATATAATCGTAGAAAACTTTGAAAAGGGCCGTGGGGCTATGTAGCGCGAGAGAGAACCAGAAGGTTCCGTTATCCCAGCCTTGTTGCATCGCAGGGTATAAGAAAGGTGGTGATGGCAGAGCCGTCTGTTCAACTTCCAATGCTGTCATAAATTCTTTGTGAAGGATTTCATAATCTTTCATATCAATCATATCGATAGCTTGGTTTGATAGCCAATATGGGGGTGGATCATTTCTAGAGGCTGAGAGCATGCCCATTCAAGATCGATAAAACATTGCACATTCCACTCGTCATCCACAAATATATTGTTGGGATGGATATCCGTCAAGGTTAGAAAGAACGGGCCGGTCATAGTAGCAAGCCAAATGCTCCTCATCACCATTAATGCTGATGTCTGATACATGCCGTCCCCGAAATTTTGTACAGAGTTTGGTTGGTAGCGTAGACGGTTTTCATGGAATGAAAGAATATCATGGATATACGAATCGACGGAGGTGTATGCCCTATCCCGCGGGATATCAACAGGTATTTGCTCGTTTTCTAATTGCTGAATTTGAAGAGTGAGTGGCCTATTCTCCAGCTGCAGATAGCCTCCCTCATCTAGAATAAATGAGCCGATTTTTGGTAATGGAGTGCGTGCCAATGCGAGAAGGGTGCGAGAGAGACCGTGAAAGAGATTGGTCCGTAGTTTTGGGTCATGGCGACCCTCTTCCCATGATTTAGAGAGCATTTTACCCTGGCATGGCTTAATGTACTCAATCAAGAGATAGCCAGTGTTCAAAGAAGATACGTTGGGCAGCGGGATATAACGAGAAGGGCTAGTATAGCCAAACCATTCTAGAATTCGGCGTCGAAACTTCTCCAGTAAGCGAGGGAGAAATGGTCGGTTATCAAGAGCAGTAAACTATTAGGCTTAGTGAGCAGATAATAGAGGGATTTGTATTAACAGACATACAGTTTTTCCCGACCTCAGTCCAAACCCATACAAATATGGGATGGGAACATCAGGGCAATTCGTTTGGAGCCACGCATATGTTCCTGCTTCACACAGTATCTTCTCATCGGCATTTCCCGGATAACAAATATCTCCAATTCGGTACGGAAGAGGGAAGCGTATGATGAGCTGCTTGTTTTGGCCTGGAACATCAAAATCGACGAGGATGCAAATATTGAAGCTGCCTCGCATCCACTGGTCAGGCTCAGCAACGTGGAAGTTTTCTGCAGGACTCCCAATGTGCTGAGCGACGATAGATTTTATCAAGTCGCGGTTGCGGTACAAGTAAGAAACTCTGTTGAGCCCAATAGCCCAGTTCATGAAGAACATTAGCTTCGCACTCTTTCGCCGCAGAGTATGTAATGGTTCCATTGAGAAGGTTGCGAGGCTTCAGCGTAGCTGAAGTACTACTATGGTTGTCGGTCATTTTGAAATCGAGGTTCACCGAAACGAAAAGGAATGTAGAGAATAGGTAGGAATATGGAGTACTCCGTAGATCCCACCCACTTAACGCGCGACGCGTGCACGGACCACACGAATTCTGGCAGCGCGTCGAATTGGACTCGTCCAAACTACCTTGACACCAGCATTTACATTGTCCTTTGCTGCATTTCTTTTCACATCAACCGACACCATGTCTTCCCGACCTGACTTGAAGGTATGGATTGAACTATCGGATATTCCTAAGCCCACAAATACAGCATTCACTAACTCAAACACCCTGAATCGACACAGGTCGACGACGAAGTCGGCTTCATTGGTTTCTACCGTGGCCTCCCTACACCCGATAATAATGAAACCGTCCGCGTATTTGATCGAGGCGACTGGTACTCCTCACACGGCGCCGATGCTGAATTCATCGCACGCACCGTCTACAAAACAACCTCCGTGCTGCGCAACCTAGGCCGCAGCGAAACAGGAGGCCTCCCCTCGGTCACGATGAGCGTCACAGTTTTCCGAAACTTCCTCCGCGAAGCCCTCTTCCGCCTGAACAAGCGTGTCGAAATTTTTGCCTCGGCCGGCTCGGGAAAGAGCAACTGGAAATTGACGAAACAAGCCAGTCCCGGTAACCTGCAAGACGTGGAAGAAGAGCTCGGCAGCGTGGGCGCGCTGTCAATGGATTCCTCGCCCATTATTCTCGCCGTGAAGATCTCCGCTCGCGCAGCCGAGGCCCGGAATGTCGGCGTGTGCTTTGCTGATGCGAGCGTCCGCGAGCTGGGCGTGAGTGAATTCCTCGATAACGATATCTACTCCAATTTCGAGTCGTTGGTTATTCAACTCGGCGTCAAAGAGTGTCTTGTGACCATGGATGTAGCTCGCAAGGATGTTGAGCTGGCGAAGATCCGCGCTATCGCCGATAGCTGTGGGATTGCTATCTCTGAGAGACCTGTTGCCGACTTCGGTGTTAAGGATATCGAGCAGGATCTTACGCGATTGTTGAGGGATGAGCGGTCAGCCGGTACGCTGCCTCAGACGGAGCTGAAACTTGCTATGGGGTCTGCGTCCGCGCTGATTAAGTATCTCAATGTCTTGACTGATCCTACGAACTTCGGCCAGTACCAGCTCTACCAGCATGACCTATCGCAGTATATGAAGCTTGATGCATCGGCCCTCCGCGCGCTGAACCTTATGCCTGGCCCGCGGGATGGGGCTAAGAGTATGAGCTTGTTCGGTTTGCTGAATCACTGCAAGACACCTGTGGGGAGTCGCTTGCTAGCCCAATGGTTGAAGCAGCCTCTGATGGACCTGGCTGCGATAGAGCAACGGCAGCAGTTGGTTGAGGCATTCGTTGTTAACACTGAGCTGCGCCAGACTATGCAGGAGGAACATTTACGTTCCATTCCGGATCTTTACCGGTTGGCTAAACGTTTCCAGCGGAAACAGGCCAACTTGGAAGATGTTGTCCGAGCATACCAGGTTGCCATTCGTCTGCCTGGATTTGTGAGCACGCTAGGTGATGTGATGGATGAGGAGTATCAAACCCCTCTAGAGACGGAATACACGTCTAAGCTCCGTGGTTATTCTGACAGTTTGGCCATGCTTGAAGAGATGGTTGAAACAACAGTGGATCTTGCTGCCCTGGAGAATCACGAATTCATTATCAAACCAGAGTTCGATGACGGTTTGCGAGTCATCAGAAAGAAGCTGGACAAGCTGCGATACGACATGGATATGGAACACCGTCGAGTTTCTAAGGATTTGAATCAAGACATGGAGAAAAAGCTCTTTATGGAGAATCACCGTGTACACGGTTGGTGCTTCCGTCTCACCCGAAATGAGGCGGGCTGCATTCGCAATAAGAAAGAGTACCAGGAGTGTTCGACGCAGAAGAACGGCGTATACTTCACCACATCCAACATGCAGTCCCTTCGCCGAGAGCATGACCAACTGTCCTCGAACTACAACCGAACCCAAACTGGTCTTGTTAACGAGGTCGTCAACGTTGCTGCTTCGTATTGCCCCGTGTTGGAGCAACTCGCTGGTGTACTAGCACATCTCGATGTCATTGTAAGCTTTGCCCATGCTTCGATGCATGCACCTTCTGGATACGTTCGCCCAAAGATGCACCCCCGGGGAACTGGAAACACCGTTCTGAAGGAAGCTCGGCACCCTTGCATGGAGATGCAGGACGATATTTCATTCATTACGAATGATGTCTCCTTAATTCGCGATGAATCATCTTTCCTCATCATCACTGGTCCCAACATGGGCGGCAAATCTACATACATCCGACAGATTGGTGTGATCGCACTCATGGCACAGACCGGCTGCTTTGTCCCTTGTACCGAGGCCGAGCTGACCATTTTCGACTGCATTCTTGCTCGAGTTGGAGCCAGCGACTCGCAGCTCAAGGGTGTATCGACGTTCATGGCGGAAATGCTTGAAACATCCAACATCCTCAAGTCCGCCACCTCGGAGTCCCTGATTATCATCGATGAACTCGGCCGTGGAACTAGCACATACGACGGCTTCGGCCTGGCGTGGGCTATCTCAGAACATATTGTCACTGAGATCCGTTGCTTTGGCCTGTTCGCAACTCACTTCCACGAGCTCACTGCCTTGGCAGACCGATATGAAAAGGCCGTCAAGAACCTGCACGTCGTGGCATTCATTGGAAACGGCAATGAGGGCGAGAGTGAAGCTGAAACCGAGGAAAAGAAAAAGCGCCAGGTCACCCTTCTCTACCGTGTGGAACCTGGAATCTGTGATCAGTCTTTCGGTATTCATGTCGCCGAGCTCGTGCGCTTCCCGGATAAGGTTGTCAATATGGCCCGTCAGAAGGCTGAGGAACTTGAAGATTTCACCTCGGCAGCAACTGAAGATGGGCAGGCACAGCCTTCTGCGCCCTCGCTTGACAAATACTCCCAGGAAGAGGTGGAAGAGGGAAGTGCGCTCCTCAAGGGAATGCTGCTGAAATGGAAAGCGGCAACTGAGGGCAAAGAGATGACAGCAGAGGAGAAGCGACAGGTCATGCGTGATCTGGCTCAGACTGATGAAAAATTACAAGCAAATAAGGTGTTCCAAGGTATCAAGGCTCTATAAGGTTGTGAGCTGTTCATGGGTTTGGCGTTCATGGAAGGCAAGGGTTTGAAAAGGCATTGTTGTGTACTCATAATTTTGCATGTCAAGATGAACTAGAATTATATTTTCTACTATAATCCCTTCTGGATTCTCCTTGTAGCAGGTCACTAACGTAGTTGTATACCCCGTTAATATAGAGGCCAGTCACGTGTAGGTCGGTCGGTCTAGATGATCAACGCGGGATGTGACGAAGCAACTTTATTCCCAAATCCAAGTCGTCATTCTTTTTATTATCTTCAATCCGTTCCTTCGAGGCTTAAGCTTACAAGAAAAACTTCTACTCCTGGTCTTATCCTATCGCTGTGCCTCTAAACCACCCTCGACTACCTCATCTAGCTATGCGCGCAAGCTAAACGCGGACGGCCTGAACCACCTCGATTCATGCACCCCTTTTCCGTCCTCACTCTTGGGATCTTCGTTGCGGGCTATATTACCGCGAGGTGGGACCTTGTTACCCGTCTATACGAATTGGCCATATTCGCCTGGGATCACGGTGTCGTGGTATGTCTTCCATTGGCCATCGGCCATCGGTCCTTAGCTCCCCTCCGCTTGCGACTTTATCAGCTTGGTGCCAGCCCACGTTATATCTGCAACGTCACTAATTTGTGTTATATTTAGACACGAACTGCGAAAGGATTTTTGTTTCTTTCCGTATTCTTTTTCCTCCTCGTCCTGCCAATTAATCACCTCGCATCTAAGGAGGGCCAATTGGTGAGCAACAGCGGAACAACCAAAGCTTTGGGCAGCGATCGAAAGATCAAAGCGCTTAGTGTTAGCTTATGAGTGTTTGCTGACGACTTTGGGGGATATATAGCATCCGCGCCACGTGAATCTCGGCGTCTCCGCGCGCGAACAATTGCGCCGTCGAGGTTCGTTCTGAGACTCAGGTGGAGGATGACAATATGCTCATGAGCGATGGACTGTTGCGGGTATTTTGGCCATATGACCTCCCACGATCCTCGTCCCCGGGTGTGATTGTCGGATGGCGGAACTCGGAGCTTGATTTGTTTGTGCTCACGGTGCTGGAAGATGTCGAGGTAGGTGGCTACAATTGCCTTGTATACTCGTTCGATATAAACTGATTATGCTTGTGATTGAATAGCCTAGGAATGTTGACAATGCTCTCCGGGCTGGCATTCTCTTTCGAAACAGCCCTCACCCGATTGTGCGCATCTTCACTTTATGTGGACGCTCTCAGATGCATGTCCTTGGCTCGACCAACTCTCCCGAGTCTCCGACGTCTTTCAACCCTTCCCACCTTGATGTGACTACAATTGCATCCCCGAAATCTCCTCGCATCTTTTGCCCACCAGAGGCAAACCTGTCTGTCCAGGTTATCATGTACCACCGCCCGCACCCAACACGCATGGAATACATGTCGCTCGATCCGATTTCGCTGGCCTTGGGCGATAAAGCGACAAAGACAGAAGTATGGGGCCCATCATCAGATAAGATCGAATCGGAGGAAGAGGGGGACAAGGCTGGGCCTAAGTTGTTGATTGAGAAGCTCAAGCTTCATACGGTCGTCAAGCACATCCCATCACAGAAGGAGCAAGCCCTCCCGCTCATTATCAACCAAGTCAATTGTGCATATGAGATGGGGCAACTCATGCACAAAAACAGCCATTTAATCGGAATTCGTGCGAAGAGAAGTATGAGCGTCGGAGAACGTGTCGTGGAATCGGCGACAACCCTGTGGGGTTTCATTGTCCTTTGCATTGCTCACGTCTTCTGGCAATGGCTTTGGCCCGTCGTCACCCGCATATTTGTCGTCGGGCTTGTATGTCACCGGTCTGTTGCGGAAATTGTCTTGCGGGTTCTCGAGTGGCGTGCTCGGCCTGATGCCGCTGCTCTCAAGGATATCTCAGCAACAGCCCAACAGGTTGATATAAGGTTGCAACAATTTTGTTACTGGCCGATTCAATATGTTAAGCTTCGTCAAAGAAAGGATAACTGGGAGAGTGTCACAACCAGTCATCCAGACTATATTCGGTTCTACAACAGTCTGTGGCTTGTCGCCAATGATGTGATCATTGGGATTGCGTTGGGATCCTACATTATTGACAACGCGAACTGGGTCGCCTCGCAAATCAACACTGTCTTGACTGGCTGGACAGTGGAGGGGCTGCAGCGCACCATTTCGTGGTTAATGGATTGGCCAGCTGGCTTGAAACTCAACAATGAGCTTGCGGCGTTCCTCGGTGACTTGTTCCTATGGGTCATTGAAAACTGGGCAGCTTGCATTGCCAACCTTCAACCTTACCTTCCTGCTGTCATCTACATTGTTGGATGTTCAAGCTTTGCGGGGGCTAGCATGCCCATCGCTCTCTTCTCTGACCTTCTTTCGATTCTGACGGTCCACATTTACTCCTTCTACATTGCCTCTGCTCGTATCTTCAACTGGCAACTCACCATTATCATTTCTCTTTTCCATCTTTTCCGTGGAAAGAAACGCAACGTACTCCGCAATCGAATCGATTCATGTGACTACGACCTCGACCAACTCCTCCTTGGCACTATACTTTTCACAGTCCTGTTCTTCCTACTGCCTACAGTTGTGGTGTTCTACCTAACCTTTGCCTCGGCCCGGATGTTAATTATATCAATGAAGGCAGCGCTTGACACCTGCCTCGCATTCTTAAATCATTTCCCGCTCTTCGCGTTGATGCTCCGCGTGAAAGACTCGCGACGGCTACCTGGGGGTATCCGATTCGAGCTTCGGAATGAACCTGACAAAAGCCCAGCGGAAACGGACTCGTCTGCACTGGTTTCTTACATCCACCTTGAGGTATGTCTCCGTACTTACCCAAACATCGCCTCAGAAAACTGACACAGATTCTAGTCTATTCCCCTCCCCCTGCGTGCCATGTTCGACCAATACTTCCAGCTGGGCCACCGGCTCCGAAAACACTACCTCGCGCCTCGCGTTATCTTCTGCCTTATGACCGGCCGTTTTGTGCCACCCATCCACCGCCGCAACCTCTATAGCATGCAATACAGCATGCTACCTGCCCGTCGAGCTGGTATGGTAGAGGTGTGGACATTGCTCACACAGCCCAAGAAAGGCAGTAGTGGAAGCAGTGGCTCTGGCTCAATGGGTGGAGGTATTGGATCCTTGAGTCATCCGATAGCCAAGGTCCCGGCCAATTACGGTCAGGGTGATCTTCGGAGACGGGGTCATCGCTGATATCAATAGACGAACTCTTCTTGTATATAATGATAATGTTCTTATCTAAGTTAATATTCTTAATGTTGCCTTGTCACTATAAAGTAGGAACACCTCCGGAGCAGAATAGACATATCAGTATATTTAGTTAAGAGGCGAGATATGCTATGTACACAGAATGATCTCCAAAAGCCGACGCCGTTGAACTCCTGTCCACGAAATTACATAGTATACATGGGAAATGCATGTCATCGCTGAAAAGGCCAAATGGGGCCAGAGCCAGGCTGCCCCTACAATCCTCCAAGAGGAAGGTGGGTTCGTAGAGGGGCCAGATGTCCCTCTTCATGATTTCTTGAGGAACTCTGCGTCTGTTTCACTGCTGCCGCTCTTTCGGGCATCATCCACCATGGCATCAATGCCCCGTTCCTTGAGAACTTTCTGCAAGCATTACGATACCTCTGTCAGACATATTGAACGACTCGGGATATATGGAGATATAATAGAGGACATTAGGCAAGGCAGGACTCACGGTCAAACATCCTTTGTAGTTCTTAAATAATGCTTCGCAGTCATTGGATGAAGTGTTGCCTCGCAGATATTCTGTTCTAGAATTAGCTGCTGTTGTTTATGCCTATGAATGAGGCATAGATGCATACTCTCGCTATACCACTTGAGAAAGCAAGTATCATATTTCCTGGTAGATATATTAGCTTTTGGTTAACATGTGGAGGCTAGATATGTTCAACTAGGACTCACTCTTTGATATCGTTACATTCGGGGGCGATAGAAGCTGCCATATTGGGCGTAATAGGAGATTATTTATTAAATAATATCCCGCAGACCTTGTACTCTTCTTGCTAGTCGAAATTTGAGTATTTTAGAGAAATGAGAGGAAAGAATGCGGTGACGACTTGAAGATCGGCGGAAGTCCATACAAATATCGCCACTCTGGGAAGGCGGTCAGGGCGGGCCTACCATTTCTCCATTGTCATTTTCTCGCCGCGACTTTTTTTTCTGAGACCTTGGATCTACATGTCACTGCTGTTCCGCGTTTCTTTTCCTCATTTTTCCTTTCGCCAGATCTAGTGAACTGGAGCTCTGCTAGTCATCATGGACTCTGCAGAATTTGCCCCGTTCCAGGACAAGTTAACCTCTGCTCTGGTGCAGGTGACTCGAACTGTCGGACAGCTCTCATCTGAAGACCTGAACTTCCATCGCACCTCCAGCGCAGAGTTTTCCGAGTCGCTGGATGAACAGAGCGCGCGCATTATTGCGCTGACCTCCGCCGTTATCAAAGCTGCCACCGCCGGCACCGATGTGACGGGACCAACCCTCCACGATGAGGATTCCGTCGAGGACAATTGGCGTGGCGTGGTGGATGTGATTGACTCGCTCTTGGAAAAGGCCGATGCCTGCTTGGATGAATTCACTGGTGTGATTAAGAAGCTCAGTCCTTCGCAGGAAGAACAGGCACCGATCAAGAGAGCGCCCAACTTCCCGACTATTTACGACTATGGTCCCTCCAAGATCCCCAAGCCGCAATTGCTGTTCAATCGCAAACCGGATAACACTGATATGGGCCCCTTCAAACCTCTCCTCAAGACCAAGCCCCATGCGATTGTTCCGTTGGAGAAATGCTTGAAGACCAAGAAGATGGAAGGTGGAATTGGTTATCCTCACCCCTACGAGGCGGAGATTCTTGCTTCGGAGTACCCGAAGCCAGTCTACCAGGTCTCCCCTCCCGTTGAGTATTTGCCTTTCGAGAGCACCACGGCTACTTTTGTCGATACTTTGGATGGAGTCAAGGAAATGCTGAAGGAGCTCAAGAAAGCGAAAGAAATCGCTATCGATTTGGAGCACCACGACGTCCACTCGTACCACGGTCTTGTCTCTTTGATGCAAATAAGCACCCGCGACAAGGATTGGGTTGTGGATACCCTGCAACCCTGGAGAGAAGAGTTGCAGATGCTGAACGAGGTTTTTGCGGATCCGAAGATATTGAAGGTCCTGCACGGTTCCACCATGGATATCATCTGGCTGCAACGTGACTTGGGCCTGTATGTGGTTGGGATGTTCGATACTTTCCACGCTGCATCTGCACTAGGTTTCCCAAAGCGAAGCTTGAAGTTCCTGTTGAGCAAGTTCGTCAACTTCGAAGCTGATAAACGGTATCAGACCGCTGATTGGCGGGCTCGCCCACTTCCACCGGCCATGTTTGACTATGCACGTTCCGATACGCATTATCTTCTTTACATCTACGACCGCCTACGAAACGACCTGATCGACAACTCCACCGAAGAGGCGAGCCACATTGATTACGTTAACGAGCGGTCTAAACATGAGGCCCTTCAACGCTATGAACGCCCTGTATATGATGCCGTCAATGGACATGGCCCTGGAGGCTGGTACGATCTGTTGTGGCGCAATTCGGCCAACTTTCCCAAGGAGCAATTCGCTGTCTTCAAGGCTGTTCACCAATGGCGCGATGAAGTAGCGCGCGCTGAGGACGAGGGTTGGCAGTGCGTTTTCCCCAAGCACATGCTTTTCAAGCTTGCCACGATGATGCCGCTTGATTTGGGATCACTATTCCATACCCTATCACCCATGACTCCCATTACGAAGGAGCGGGCACGCGATCTGTTGGAGGTTATCAAGCAAGCCAAGCTTGCCGGTCTTGATGGTCCGGAATGGCGCGATGTGGCACCCCCGAAACA